CTAATTTGACAATAAACTATTTGTAAAAAAAATTAAATCAAATTAACAAAGTGTAAAAAAAAACAGAGAAGATGTGTCTAGAAAAATGTTGCTATGGCCAGTGTTAGAGAAATTACTGCTTGCACTCTCTTCTAGGATTTTTATGGGTCCTTGCCTCACATTTAGGTCTTTAATCCAATTGAGTTTATTTTTGTGTGTAATGTTAGAAAGTGGTCCAGTTTCATTCTTTTGCAAGTAGCTGTCCAGTTTTCCCAATACAATTTGTTGAAGCGACATTCTTTTTTCCATTGTGTATTCTTGACTTCTTTGTTGAAAATTAACTGACCATATAATCATTGCTTTATTCCTGGGCTCTCTGTTCTGTTCCACTGATCTATGTGTCTATTTTTGTGTGAGTTCAATACTGTTTTGATTACTACAGCTTTGTAGTATAGCTCTGGGATTGTGATGCCTCCCAGTTTTCTTTTTCTTTTTCAAGATTGCTTTGCCTATTGGGGGTCTTGTGTGGTTCCATACAAATTTTAGGGTTGTTTGTCCTAGTTCTGTGAAAAATGCTCTCGGTATTTTGATAGGGATCACACTAAATCTGCTAGCACTTTAAAGAGCATCAAGAAATTGAAAACTTAGGGCACCTGGGTGGCTCAGTTGGTTATGCGTCTGACTTCAGCTCAGGTCATGATCTCGCGGTTCATGGGTTCAAACCCCATGTCGGACTCTGTGCTGAAAGCTCAGAGCCTGGAGCCTGCTTCAGATGCTGTGTTCACTTGCTCTCTGCCCCTCCCCTGCTTGCACTCTGTCTCTGTCTCTCTCAAAATTAAACAAACATTAAAAAAATTTTTTTAAGACATTGAAAACTTAATGAGAGGAGGCCAGAAAGAGTGGAACAAAAAGAGCTCTGGCTTTGGGATTGGAGGAACCAATGTCCCTTTCCAGCCTTATAAATGTCAGGTTGTGAAACTTCAGGTGCATTGTTTAATCTGAATCTTACTTTAAACTTTTTTGTGTGTGCAATGGGATTAATAATATCTATTTTTGCTTACTTCAATGGTTTTAGTATGGATCGCATAAGAATACAGGCATAAATATTTTAGAATGCTTTGCAAATTAAATGCCACCCGCCAGCCCTTCTTAGGAAGATTGGAGACATCTTTAGACTTTCATTAGTTTCTATCCAACTCTCTTCCCCATCTATTTGCATTTTCTGTCTGCCGTGTCAGAGTGGCTAGCACAGGATCCAAAAACTCGGCCTACCTAGTATTTGCAATTTCCACAGAGCAAATTAAAGGAGCCAGAGCTTTAAATGATCAAAGGAATCAGAGAGAGCAAGGTGCATTGATTTCTACCTTTTTAGGAAACCCCAAACCACCAGATTCTCTGTGTTCTAACACATACCAGGAATTTGCTAGTGCATTTTTCCAGTGGGGTAGGACACACTATATGTAGATTTAGGAATACTAAGCAGGGGTACTTGGATAGCTCAGTCGGTTAAGTGTCTGCCTCTTGATTTTGGCTCAGGTCATGATCTCAGGTTTGTGACATCGAGCCCTGCATTGAGCTCTGCACTGGGCTTGGAGCCTGTTTGGGATTCTCTCTCTCCCTATGTCCTCCCTCCCCCATTCACACAGGTACGCATGTGCACGTGAACTCTCTCTCTTTCTCTCTCTCTAAAAAAAATAATAGAATAATAAAAATGCCAAGCATAGTCAATTTTTATATACAGAAGGCTATTGTTTGGATTTAATGAGAAAATACATGCAATGACAAAACATTCCCAGAGCTATGTTAATGTATGTAGTTTTCTTTGTACTAACAACCAATATTCATGTGTTCTTGTAGTTCACTGTTAAGCCGTAGGTAAGCAAAACAGTGTTTCAAGTTCTCCATTTCTTTTTTGAGATCTAACTTACTTGTAAAATGGAAATACCAATCTCTTCTTCCTTTATTTTAGAGAGTTTTGGAGGATAGAAGTAGAGTAATAATAGCTCTGAATGTGCTTTGAAAATAAAAGGAGCTTACAGAAATGAAGCGTTTACAATGATATTTACGGGCATGCATTCCTCTAACCTGGTACAGCAAGGACATATAACTGGGAAGGGCACATCTCTGTCAAAAACTATACATTAGACTCTAAGGCCAAAAGGAAATTCTTTTAAGTTATTCAAGGCTTTAGATTGTATATTCTCTTGCTGGGCTTTCTCAGTGGGCTTACCAAGTGCTGACGCTCTTGAGCAGAAGGGTTTGTCTCAAATCTTTGGAGACTGGGCACAGAAAAAATTCAGAAATATAAACACTAAAGCTGAAAAACAGGTTTGGATCCTAGGTCTCTCCCCAGCCAGTTGGATACTTTTTGAGACCTAAGGTGTACGCACTAAAATAGATCAAAAGGGCGTGTCAATGTCTTCCTTAAAGGCAATTTCTAAAACTTAATGGAAAACTAGGAAAGCATCAACAAGGGTCAGAACTCACAGGTTTGCAGGCAAAGGAGCAAGGTCCACAGGTAGTGCTGAGCCATCTTCCAGCATGTAATCTTATGTGGACAGAAAAGTACTCCTCCAGCAATGTTAAGTTCCCTTGCTCAGTTTATAGCCACAACTAAGAAAGGAAGTGTGAGCTAGCGGATTGGGGAACCATTGGTCCATGTATTACGATGATAATTTTTTTCCCATTTAATAACACAAAATGCCTAGCATTAATTAACTATTTATTCAACAAATATATATTGAGTGCTTACTCTATTCCAGGCAGTCTTCTGGGCACTGACAGTATAAGGAGCAAAAAGCTTGTGTTCTTTTTGGGGAAATCAACAATTAAACACCCAATTCCCACAGAGTATGATAAGTGTTGCGATAGAGAAAATCAGGGGGAACTAAGAGAGCAGCAGGGGCCTCTAGCCCAGGCAGGGTAAGTGCAGGGAAGGCTTTCTAGGGGAACTGATAGTCCAGCTGAGGTAGATCTGAAAAGCAAGTTAGCATTGTTAGGTGAAGGAGAGTAGAGGAAGAGGGAAGAGGAAGAATGTGTTGACACAATACGAGCCTAAAAATGGTAGCAGCTCACATTATGTAATTATAGTTATATGTAATCACATATAATAGAATTATATATAATTCTACTATATATAACTGTTTTATATATAATTATATTGATTATATAAATTATAACATTATGTATACAATGCATATACAATGTAATATAATGAATATAATTATATTATGATTGAGCTAGACGTAACACAGGACTGTTCTCTAGCAGAGGTCTCCCACTCCCTGTTAGAAGAATAACAGGGAACTTATAGGTGGGGGGGGGGGTGTCAGGGGATGGTGACAGGAATAAATATTGAGGCCCAGCAGTTTATATCTGAACCCAGCTGTTCTGGAAACTTCTAGGGAAGCTGAGGACATGGCCCCTGAGACCTATATAAAGCTTTTCCCACTGACGGGAGTCCTTGGCCACTTCCTGGGGCTTCAGGGTCATTCATTGAACTGTGCTCCTCATCATTTTTCATATATACTTGCCCAAAATTGAGTAGTTGAATTCCTTTATCTACTCAGCATGTACTGAACTAGGCAGCTGTCTGGCACCAAAAAAACACTGACAATAAAAATGAAATTTCCCAAATTATTTTATTTCATGAGATTGAACCATATTTCTCTCATATTTCTCACAGGATGTCTTCCTGAAATATGTAATTGCTACAGGTGCAAAAACACATATCAGTTATGTATTCATGGCACAGAGAAGGAAGAAAGAAGAGAGTATGAAGTTGTCAAGAGCTGCTGAAAATCCAACTTTGTATTCTCTTTCTTCGTACTTCATTCTCTGTAAGATCCTCAATTTTCCCTTGCAGTGTACAGTCCTTTCTTGGTCTCATGTCTATGTCTTTAAAAACCTAGATTGGTATCTTACCCAGGGACTTATCTCCTATTGGGTTTAGGCCAGTGTCTTATCTCTGTCTTTCAGCCTTAGATAGCCTGACAACTAGTATATTATTGTCAAGAAGATACTACCTTTGAGACTTCTTATCTTGATATGAAAGATACAAAAGTCCTTCCATTCCATAACAACAACAACAAAATAAAAAAATCAAGATTTTCTATGGGACGTGCAAGGTATGTGAAAAAACCTTGATGGACTGAATTCCAGTGGAAAAAAAATGTGCCCTTTATAGTTGAGCAGAGAGCCAAACAGCTCAAGACTTGGGACAGGATCTGGTCTGGGGTACAGACCAGCAGAAGAGAGAGTCTGCCAAAAACAGAGACTTTGAGAAGAAGGACAAATGAGATGAAACTTATGTGATAGTGTGGGCTGGCAAGATGGGCTGGAATTTGGAAGCCCTGGGTACAAAACCAAGTTGTCTTGCCCAACAATTCCCATCCCCTCCAAAATTTTGCTGAGAAAGTGGCACTGAGGAGGGACTAGAAATCAGAGGAAAATTGTATAGTGCCACATATTTCATAATAGTTGGATTCCAGAGTTTTAATATAAAAGTAAACCAAAAAAATACTGAAACTACAGCCCAACTCTGTCCCACCTCAAATATTAACAAGATCTAAAAGGCACAGGTCGTGAAGGAAATGGGAGGTTAGGTTAATTACAAATGAATTCTCTCTATAGCTGTGGCTCTACTCCAGCTTAATTTTTTTAAATGTTTATTTACTTTTGAGAGAGAGAGAAAGAGAGAGACAGAGCACAAGTAGGGAGCTGGCAGAGACAGAGATAGACACAGAATCCAAAGCAGGCTCCAGGCTCTGAGATGTCAGCACAGAGCCCAATATGGGGCTCAAACCCACGAACCATGAGATCATGACCTGAGCTGAAGTCACATTCTTTACCGATTGAGCCACCCAGGCACCCCTATTCCAGCTTAATTTGATTCTCAGTGAAATATTAATGATCAGCTTCTCCCTCAAACTATCATGCAGAGGGAAAGGGCTACATTCCCAGGAAAATAAATAAAGCAAAGCAGAATAAACTAAAACACACTATACGTGAATATATATTACCTTTTGTCTTAGAGCCCATTTTGTCTGGGGTGCCTGGGTGGTTCAGTTGCTTGAGCGTCTGATCATTGATGGGCTCAGGTCATGATCTCGCGGTCTGTGAGTTTGAGTGTTGGACTGCTGTCAGCGCTGAGCCCGCTTTGGATCCTTTGTCCCTCTCTCTGCACCTCCCCCACTTGTGCTCTCTCTCTCTCAAAAATAAATAAACCTTAAAAAAAATAAAATCTATTTTGTCTGATATAGGTATAACTACTTCAGCTTTCTTTTGGTTTCCATCTGTATGGAATATCTTTCTCCACCCTTTCACCTTCAGTCTGTGTATGTCCTTAACATCTTCAGTTCTATACATCAGATTACATAATGATAAAGGGGGTAATTCAACAAGAGGATGTAACATTTATAAAAATGTATGCATCCAACATAGGAGCATCTAAATATATAAAGCAAATATGAAAAAACCTAAAAGGAAAAATTGACAGCAAAACAAGAATAGTAGGGGACTTATTACGCATTTACATCAATGCATAGATCACCCAGACAGAAAATGATAGGTGGGGTGCCTGGGTGGCTCAGCTGGTTAAGTGTCCGACTTCGGCTCAGGTAATGATCTCACAGTTCCTGGGTTCGAGCCCCATGTGGGGCTCTGTGCTGACAGCTCAGAGCCTGGAACTTGCTTCGGATTCTGTGTCTCCCTCTCTCTTGGCCCCTCCCTCATTTACATTGTTTTTTTCTCTCTCTCAAAAATAAATAAACATTAAAAATTTTTTAAAAAAGAAAATGATAGGTAAATGTCAGCCTTAAATTGCCCATTACTCCAAATAGACTTAGCAGATATATAGAACATTCCATCCAAAAGGAGCAGAATATGCATTCTACTCCAGTGCACACGGAGCATGTTCCAGAATAGGTCAAATGTTAGGCCACAAAACAGCTCTTAATAAATTAAAAGAGAATTGAATTCTTACCAAGCACCTTTTCTGACCACAGTGGTATGAAACTAGAAATTATGCGAAGGCACCCCTATTCCAGCTTAATTTGATTCTCAGTGAAATATTAATGATCAGCTTCTCCCTCAACTATCATGCAGAGGGAAAGGGCAAGAAACAGCTAGAAAATTCTCACATATATGGAATTAAACAACATGTTACTGAACAACTAATAGGTCAAAGAAGAAATCAAAAGGGGAATTTTTAAAATAACTTGAGGTGAATTAAAATGGAAATATACCAAAACTTGTGGGATGTAGCAAAGGCAGTTCTAAGTGGGAAGCTCTTAGCAATAAATGCCTGTTTCAAATAAGCAAGAAAAGTCCCAAATAAATAATTTTCCAACTCAAGGAACTAGAAAAAGAAGACTGAGTGATGCCCAAAGTTACTGGAAGGAAGGAAATAATACAGGTTAGAAGAAAAATAAATGAAATAAGGATGAAAAAGACAATAGACAAGATAAATGAAATCAAGAGCTGGTTCTTTGAAAAGATAAACAAAATTGAAAAGCCAGCTTTTAGCTATTCTCACCAATAAAAGAAGAGAGAGGGCTCAAGTGAGGAAAATCACAAATTAACCTATACATATACGGTCAGTTAATTTATAACAAAGGAGTCAAGAACATACAATAGGAAAAGACTGTCTCTTCAATGAATGGTGCTGGGAAAACTGGATATTCACATGCAAAAAGTGAATCTGGACCCCTATCTTACAACATAGATAAACATGAACTCAAAATAGGTTAAAGACTTGAATGGAAGACCTGAAACCACAAAACTCCCAGAAGAAAACGTAGTCGGTAAGCTTCCTGACATAGGTCTTGGTGACGAGTTTTTTTGAATCTGGCACCAAAATCAAAGGCAACAAAGCAAAAACAAACAAATGGGACTACATTTAACTAAAAAGCTTCTGCACAGCAAAGGAAACCATTAGCAAAATGCAAAGGCAACCTGCTGAATTGGAGAAAATATTTGCAAAGTATATATCGGATAAGGTGCTAATTTCCAAATATATAAAGAATTCATACAACTCCATAGCAAAAAAAAAAAAAAAAAATCCAATTAAAAATGGGCAGAAGATCTGAATAGACATTTTTCTTTTTTTTATCAAACAATTTTAATCAAGTTAATAGTAAGCAGTAAAAGTGCAATTATACGAAGAGCCCCATATTATACATGTTTAAATATTTTCCATTGTCTTTACTTGTAAGGTGTTGAAGGTGGGACCCACTCTTGAATCTTCTTTCTAGTGGTAGAATAAGGTACGTATTGTTCTGGAGTGCCACTCACATTGAACTTATGGTTTGTCCAAATGAATTTACGAGCAGTAGGTGGTTTTGTTGTTGGAGGATCATCAGTCATAGAGCGAAGCCAACGATGCCATTCAGGAGGGACCATGCTTCCATCCACATCCCAAAATGTGTTCTTGCCATTCATTTCAGTAGTATATATAACCCATCGGTGACGACCAAAAAACTGCTTGTTGTCCTCATAGTATTGGTTTCCATATTTGTCTTCTCCCACTAATGTACAAACTCTCACATCATTTGCCCTGAACAAAACTCGTAGATAGCCGCGGAGACCGCCGTGGCCTCTGAGACCGCCGTGGCCGCTGACTTGCTGCAGCCTGCGTTTTAGAACCTGCAAGAACTCCATTTTGTCCCATAGGCCTGAATAGACATTTTTCTAAAGAAGACATGCAGATGGCCAACAGGTACATGAAAAAAAATGCTCAACATCATTAGACATCAGGGAAATCAAATTAAAACCACAATAAGGTACTTCTACACATCCTTTAAAATGGGTAAAATGAGGGGTGCCTGGGTGGCTCAGTCCATTAAGCGTCCGATTTTGGCTCAGGTTATGATCATGAGGTTTGTGAATTTGAGCCCCGCATTGGGCTCTGTGCTGACAGCTCAAAGCCTGGAGTCCGCTTTGGATTCTGTGTCTTCCCCTCTCTCTGCCCCTCCCATGCTCATGCTCTGTCTGTCTCTGTCTCTCAATAACAAATAAACATTAAAATTTAAATGGGTCAAATGAAAAAAATTCACTGTGCTGGTTAATTTTATGTGTCAACTTGACCAGGCCACAGGATACCCAGAGACCTGGTAAACCATGATTTGTTGAGTGTGTTGGGAGGGTGTTCCTGGAAGAGGCTAGCATATGAATCGGTGCACAGAGTAAAGCAGAGCCGTCAGCCTCCTCCCCTTCCCCTGGGGATGGCACATCAGTGCTCCTGGACTCTGGAAGTTACAGCCACAGCTTTCCTGCCTCTCCAGCTTGCAGACATCAGACTGTAGTCCTGTCCAGTCTCCATCATCACATGAGCCAATTTATGATAAACCTCATTCTGGCTGTGCAAGTATATGTCCAACTGATTCTGTTTCTCTGGAGAAGCCTGACCGGCCATACCAAACGTTGGCAGAGATGTGGAGACACTGGAACTCTTGAATGCTGCTGGCATTTATGTACTGAAATGGTGGCTGTGGACAAATGTTCATGACCCGCTACAATCCATATGTTGAAACCTAACCGCCAATGTGATGGTATCAGGTAGGGGGGAGGGGCTTTGGAAAGTGATTTACTCATGAGAATGGAGTCCTCCTGAGGGGACTGTGCCATTATAAAAATGGCTCTGGAGAGCGTCCTCCCCCTTCCACCATGTGAGGACACAGTACAAACATCCATCTATGAGCCAGGAATCGGGTCCTCGCCACACCAAATCTGCTGCCACTGTGATCTTCTACTATCTAACCACCAGATCCGTGAGAGATAAATTTCTGTTGTTTATAAGCCACCTGGTTTACAGTATTTTGTCATAGATGCCCGAATGGACTAAGATGATATTACAAACAACTCAGAAAACAGTGGCAGGGCACCTGGGTGGCTCAGTCGGTTAGGCGTCTGACTTTAGCTCAGGTCATGATCTTGCAGTTCACGAGTTTAAGCCCCATGGCGGGTTCTGTGCTGACAGCTCAGAGCCTGGAGCCTGCTTTGGATTCTGTGTCTCCCTCTCTTCCTGCCCCTTCCCCACTTGTGCTCTGTCTCTGTCTCTCTCTCTCTCAGGGAAACAAAAGCACATTGTAATGTGTGGTCTGAGCTTGGGGATGCATGATGATAAAAGGTATACACAATCTGCTTAAAAGTGATCATAAAACTTCTAGGCACCTAACAACATAGCACTTACATTCATGAAACAAAACCTGCTTGAAGTACAATTAGAATTTGTCAGATGGACGGCCATGTTTCTTTTTGTTCAAATTAACTTGGCCACCTAACGTGTTCATGGTGATGCCTCTGTGCCAGCTCACTGCACTGTTTCCTTCTAATTTCTTCCTGGTGAAGCTACTAGCATTACATCCACAAACAGGTCAGCCAGAAGTCACTGTTTCTACTGCAAAGTTTTTTCTCTCACCAATATGTCATATTGCCTTAATAGACTGGCCTACATTCTGAAACTAATCGGTTCTATTAGGGACCACACATTACATTTTAAGAAATGTATACAAATCTATATTTTTCTATCAATAATAAGAATTAATTAGTATCGATATCCCTACTGTCTAACAAAATGAAATATTAGCATTTATTTCTCTCAGTAAACTGGAATGATCTCCACATTGTGAGCTCTACTGGTCAATTCTTTGCTCTCCTATTTCTGGAATAATCATATAATTTATCATTGACACCAAGGGATGATTTAAAAGGGCACTTAACTAATTAATTCTATGTGATTTTTTGAAATATTAATATGTTGGATGACAAATTGATATTTATTATGATGATGAACTGGAAAAATAGTTCTATAAAAATATTTTCAGAAAAGTTTTGGCAACAAATAGACATAAATTTATGTCTAAAAATTAGACATAATATTAATGAACATTAAGACAATGGTGTTATGAGGCATCTCGGTGACTCAGTTGGTTAAGTGTCTGACTCTGTTTTAAAAAAATTGTTTTAGGTTTTTTTAAGTTTATTTATTCTGAGAGAAAGAAAGCATGACTGGGATAGGGGCAGAGAGAGAATCCCAAGCAGGCTGTCACCATTAGCGCAGAGCCTGACACAGACCTTGAACTCACGAACCGTGAGACCATGACCTGAGCTGAGATCAAGAGCCAGAAAACATCTGACTCTTGATTTTGGCTCAGTTCATGATCCCACGATATAAGACTGAGTCCCATGACCTGTTTGGGATTCTCTCTGTGTTCTCGCTCTCTTCTGCTCTTCCTCAACTGTCTTGTGCACATGCGCTCTCTCTCTCTCAATATAAATAAATAAACATTAAAAAAAACAACTGTGTTATATCACATATGTGATTGACCAAGAAAATCGACTAATATCAAGTGCTATTGAGGAAAGGGGAAGGAAGGAACTCTAATGTACTGTCAGCAGGAGTATAAATTTTGCAGTTGGATATTGGCATAAGTTATGCTTCCCCTCTCCCCCACCATCTAATTCTCAACTCCAAAGTGTGACTGTAGTAAAGGTAACTCTGCTATCTTGGTTCTATTTTTTTTTTAATTTTTGTATTTATTTTTGAGAGCAAAAGAGACAGTCTGCAAGCCAGAGAGGGACAGAGAGAGAGAGAGAGAGAGAGAGGGACACACAGAATCCAAAGCAGGCTCTGAGTCCCACGCGGGGCTCAAACTCTGAATGGCAAGATCATGACCTGAGCCGAAATCCGACACTTAACTGACTGAGCCACCCGGGTGCTCCTTTTTTTTTTTTTTTTTTTTTTTTTTTAATTATGAACTGCAGTGTTTCATCTTTGGCTGGAAATGTTCTTTTTCATTGTTACTTCAAACTTTTTATCTAAAATAAGCCTACTCTCCTCAGTCTTCCCTCTGAGTTTGGTGCACCTCCTATGTGCTTACTGAGCATTCTTTTCTTCCTGTCACTAAGGTGACTAACACATTCTGGTTTGCCCAGTCATTGCTCGTTGTAATTACTAATAGAATCTCCTTTACAGTCACATGGATCCCAGTAGATCATGTGCTCATCTACCTATCATGATGCTGCAATTGTCTGTGTTCTTTGTATCTCCCACTAGATGACAAGCTCTAACACTTAGCAGGAACTTAATAACATGGTTGAATGAGTGAAACGTTGAATAAAATTAGGAGTCTTCTGTGACAGAAACTCATTACAGTGAACCTTGACTACAGCTGGCCATCAATTCACAATGGGCTTCCTTATCTCTAAGGGAAGGGGTCATCTCTCCTTCCAGCCCATAAATGTTGGGAACTGATGAGGATCCAGTCACAGCTTCAATGAGTCTGTGACTAAGTCCTCATCCTTTAGACCAGAAGTGGTGTTGGGGATGCTAGTGTGAGGTGGACTGTATTGCTACATCTCCCCCTTGTGGCTGTTGTGTGGAACTCATCACAGAATCCTTTCTGGTTCTAAGTTGGTGGTCCTGTAGATCTGAACCCAGATTTCATTTGAGTTTGAGGTGGGGTTTGAGTATTAGTATATCTATTTAAAGCTACCCAGGCAACTCTAATATTTATGTCACCTTGGGAATACTAGCAGGTGCGGGCCCACACAGCTCTCGTCTCTGTAGGAAGGTGTCTCCTGACCTTGGGCTAAAACCCTTGCCCATGCCCTACAAAAGAGACAGCTTCATACCTCATCAGACCAAATGAGACACCCTCAGTGTTTTGTAGCTTTAGAGACACAAGTCTGTGGAACGTGTCACGTGTCACGCCATACTGCTGTGTGATGAAGCCTCCAGGCAACACAAGACAAAAGTGCAAGTTCCTTGATGGATTGTCTGAATTTTATTCATATCCAGGAGGTAGAAACAAAAACACATGAAGACACATAACTTACTGTAATCAGTGGTTCCTCAGTCCCCATATGCACCCTTTACCAGTGCATTGGCTTGCATGGCCAAAGTGAGTGTCCTGAACAGGCCTGGGGCCACACCTAGCTGTCCTGCAGAGCACTACTAGTCCCTTAAACCCGAGAATGGTCTGTTCCTCTTGAGTTCTCCAGAATTCAGATATGCTCAGTCAAAAGAAGATATGAGAGAAGAAACATGGGGAAACTGGACTCTAAAGTATCAGTTTCATTTTTTAGGCCCGAAGAAAAGGAACGCTCCAGCCCATCCACGGTGCTTTCGGGGACAGGTGTGAGCTGAGGGTTATCTGCTTTCCCACTTGAACCCGGAGCCTGATGGTGCAGAACAGGACATCAACAGTCATGTGAAGGACTGCCTGAGGGTCCACACAATACAGCCATCCTCCTCAGTGAGCTCTTGAGCCTAGGTCCGGGAATTTTGAGGGGATAACTTCTTCTTCCCCACTTTGTTTCCTTCTTTCCACCGGGTGAAGTTCAGCCATAGGAAAAACCCAAGTGTTGGGAACTGATCTACTAGAACAATGTGAGTTGTAGTAAAGGCCTGAGTGTTTATAACCTCAGAGTTTATGAATCCTTGATAGTAGCTTCATCGGTTTTTGAGAATAGACAGTTAACGAGCTTAAGTTTAGATAAAGGTGGTGTAGTGAACTTTTTTTTTTTTTTTGCCTTCCCAGCATTAATTCTCACTGCTTATGTTTGAAGAATTCCTAACTCCTAAGAGCCAGAGCCCACCAACCACTATGAAAGTGGAACATGCCAGATTTTCAATTTCCAGCCTCCCTTGGAGGTAGGTGTGTGGACTGGCCACTCAGTCCCAAAATCTGAATTACAAACAAGAAAGGAAAAGGTAAGGAAGAGGTCAGTTTGGTGCAGACAGGGCACTGGCAATATTGGGTTGCTGAGTCCAACTGAGGCAGGGGAGGGAGTGGAGGAGTCAGGGTCTAGTTCTGGCAGGACCAGAGCACTGCACCTGGAACTCGGCATCCTTGAGCTGAAAAGTCAGTGGCCCTCATTATACGGTTGTGAGACTGCTGGTGATTTCCTAACCAACGTTCACTAAGGTCATACAAGAACCTATGAAAAAGAAGAGCTTAAACGGAAGAGGGCCTGTCCGAGAGCAGAGAAGAGGAAGAAAATAGGACTTCACTGAAAGAGGCGCTTTCTGACTGTGGCCTGAAACATGAAGTCACGAAGCATGGAATTATTTGTGGTTGTTGGGTTACAATATGTTCATTTTCTACTGAGCATGAGGAGGGGGGCGCAGGTGCCTGGTAAAGACCCTGACCAGATGAGGCCGTGGATGTAAAATGGGTTCAGAACATGGCGAGAGGGTCTCAGCAGTTGTTCAACATCCTTGTTCAATGAAGTCAACAGACAACTAGGGATTTAAAAATCATTTGGAGAAGTGAAAGATCAGCCTGGGATCACTTCTGATAATTCCGACTTCGATATAATGGTGTCACCACAAACACTTGTCACATTTCTTTAAACCTAATGCCATCTGCATTGAATACTTTTAAGAATTCTTAAATACTTAAATACCACATATATAAGTACATATATGTTCTATAATATTATACTTAAATAGCCTATGCCTTTTTAAGACTCTTAGGTGATTTTCCTTCCATTATTCAAGGCTCAGAGACTTCACAGTCTTGCTGTGTTTATTGACCCTTCAGCTTCTGGGTTCTGCAGATAAAATACTGACTCTATTAGCTTCTTTCAAAGAATAATCGCAGAGTGTTCTACATATAATAAGGAGTTCACCCTTCACTGCCCATCCAGAGAGAGAAAGTGAGGCACAGAGCCCTGATCAGGGCTGTGTGGAGAGTGGGGTCGGCTCCCAGGACCAAGCACAGGCACATGATCTGTCCCAGGTGTCGTGGCTGGTGGGCAGCTGTCTGAGAGGCACTGGGTACCCCTGTTTCCCACCTTTGGCTCTTAACTGTCCAGTCCCGGCAAGGAGCAAGACTCCTAGAGGTCTGAGCTCACAGGACCCGCATAACTCATTCTGTCTGTGATATACCACAGAGCTGGAAAGCTATACCATTAGTTCTCTGTTCTGGGGCTGGGCCTTGAGGAGGAGGCTGAGCACTTGGAAAGCCTCAGCCCCTTGTCCATCCCACAGGTGGCCGTGGAAGAAGCATCACCAGGGAGTTGATCTGAGAAGAATACAGATGTGCAGAGTGTCACAAGGAGCTTGGGACCCGGGGCCAAGTGCAGTGTTTATCCTGGCCCTTCGATGTTCCTTCAGAAAGTCCCTTCACTGAGTCTGTGGGGTCAGCTCTCTGGAAGTGTCACGCTGGCATAGACTGTGATGGAGTTTGGTTCCTGAGGGCAAAACATAAGTCTGTGAGTTCAGGCACCAGCTTCACAGGCTGCAAATGGGAACCACGCTGCTTAGTAAAAGGAAAGGGTCTCAGGTATCAGGTGGCATGGGGACTTGCTGGGGGTGGCCCTCAGGTCCCCCACTGCCAGCCTACCCCCCCCTCACCCCAGGGCTCCAGCTCCCTTCCAGGTGTGCACACACAATCAGCAGTCACCATTGGGGAGACCAGGAGATATGTCCCTCTTTGCTTTCTGCCCTGCCCTTGCCTTATAAGGAAAGTCATTTGCTCTGCTCTAGGTTGGTCATGGGACACAGTTTGGGGAAGCCAAGAAATTCTAATTTACTGAGGTTTAGAAAGGGTTAATGAGACCCAAAGGGAGAAGGAAAGATTGCAGCCCAGAAGGAGGGAGAAGAGATAAGACGTCTTGGGGCAAAGACGTCTTCAAGGGTCAGAGAAAGAAAGACAGGAATGGAGGAATTCAGGGGGTTTTGTTGTAAAATGTGAAGTATAACAGACTGTTTCAATGAAGAAACCTTGTTTAAAAATCTGCATCCCTTCTTAAAGCTTTTTAAAGTCAGATTCTTGAGTTCACTTCCCCATTGGATAGAACAGTCCTAAGAATAGAGCCCCGCTGCAGATGGGGCGTCTTCCCAGGCATTTCCGGATGAGACAGAGGGGCAAATGGAAGCATTTCTGTGGCCTTTTGATCCTCAATTGTCTCAGAAAATGCCTTACTTAATATATAGCCCTGGAGCCAAGATTTCAGCCCGGAATTTCTGTCCATTTAGGAAAAAGAATAATGTCAAGCCAGACTAATCCATGCTCATTTTGCAGTGGGGGGAGATGGTAAGGCTCACTCTGAGCCACATACCATATTGTCCTCTGGACTCACAACAGGCAGAGCACCACTCTGAGACCTTCTCATTAACTGGGACTAGATGGAGCCTCGAAACGGTCCTTTTTACAAAGCTCCCCTGTGATTCTGTTATGCAGCTGGACTCTGGAGCTCCTGGACACAGTTGCAAATCCCAAATGTCCAAGTGCTGTGGGACCACCTGGGGAGGTTGTTTTTTAATGTATAGATGCCTGGTTACTTACCGTGGACATTCTGATTGACCTAGTAGAAAGCTCCAGGAATCTTAATTTTTAGCAAATGCATATATGCTGATTCTGATGGGGTTCTTGGACAACCCTCAGGGAAACACTAGTGAACAGAGAGCTGTGTCCTCATGTGAGCAGCCAGGAGGGTTCTCCTGAAAGCCCCACAGCCACGGAGGCTCTTTGTGACCCATGTGCCACGGGCTGCTTTCTCTGCTTCAGGAGACCGCCTCTTCCCTCCCTGCAATGAGGAGGCTCAGACAGATTCCTCACCTGGACAGGCTCTGGGACAGGTTCTGTAGCAGCGACATAAATGGTGGTGCAGGGGTCCTGAGCTGGCAGGGGATCAGGTTTCTTCTGAATGGACTACGAGAGAAGCAAAGAAAGCAGAAGTCAGCTGAGCAGTGGTTTCTACCAGATTCACCCCATGGAGAAACCCAAGATCTAGAAGCCTTGAGCTAGAAAGCCCCTCAGAGGCAATTGGTCCAATCTCCTTCCCTGGTGGAAAGGTTCCTCCAAATTCCTTGGAATTCAATTCCCAGGGCTTTGTTTGGACTCCCCAAGTGACACTGCAACGTTCACAGCCTGGTGAGGCAGCCTGCCTCCCCATGAGCCCTTCCCAGATGTTTTAAAAGTCTTCCTTGTGGTGAACCGACATCGCTGTGGCTCTAACCAGGGCAGCTGAAGGGAACAGGATCTTCATAATAAATGTCTCACTCTGTCACCTACAGCACGCAGAGCTCATCCCTTCTCACACTGCTGTTCTTGCCATTCCTCACTCCGACATGGTTTCCTGAGACTCCTCTTTTCTGCCCAAGTACTGAACTTAATAATAAGCACACATATCCAGAGGTGCCAGTTTACAAAGTTCTGCAGATCCCACATTGGTCTCATATCCACTCTGTTAAATCTCGTAGTGACATGTCACTAATGGAGAAGCTAAGGCTCAGAAAGATTTAATACTTTTCCATGTGCTTGTGCAAGAAGTATCAAAGCCAGGAGTCCCACTGACTTAGAGGCACGAGGGAAAACTTAAGAAGTTTGGGGAAGGACAGGGCCGCCTGGATAGCTCAGTTGGTTGAGTGTCCCACATCAGCTCAGGTCATGATGTCATGGTTTGTATGTTCGAGCCCTGCGTCAGGCTTGCTACTGTCAGTGCGGAGCCCACTTCAGATATTCTTCTTCTTCTTTAAAAAAATTTTTTTAAGTGTTTATTCAGTTTTGAGAGAGAGAGAGAGAGAGAGACGGCAGGGATGGGCAGAGAGAGAGGGAAACACAGAATCTGAAGCAGGCTTCAGGCTCTGAGCTGCCAGTGCAGAACCTGATGTGGGGCTTGAACTCACGAACCATGAGATTGTGACCTGAGCTGAAGTCAGAAGCTTAACCCACGGAGCCACTCAGGTGCCCCAGATCTTTTGTTCCCCTTTCTCTCTGTCCCTTCCCTGCTCACACTCTCACTCTCAAAAATAAATAAAACATTTTAAAATTAAAAAACAGTTTGGGAAAAGGAAACTATCTATAGTCTTACCACTTCGAAACAACATGGTTATTAGCACATTGCTAGATTTCCCTTCAGGATTTTAACCTGGATTTAGGGAATTATTTTAAACACAGTTTAATGACTTAGTGCATTTTGGCATTTTAGTGTCTTCAGGTAGGGCATGAGTCCAGGGAGCATGGCCTACAAGAAACCCCAGGGGTGTTGTGCTCACATAGTTTTTGTAAGCAGTGTCCCCCTGAGTTGTGCAAGGTAGCAGTCCTGGTAAGACCTAGAGAGTTCCCTAGCAGACAGTAGATTTGTGTTACATAATTTTCCCTGGTACCCTCGTCTTTATCATGGGAACATATCACCATGGCAAATAAGAACAAGGAAAATGCTAATATTTCATCATTGTCCACATAATTAGTCTTTATATATCACATAGGCTTTGCAAATATGAACAAAGAAAATTGTAAAAATGTAGAGAAGTGCAAATACATATTTATGTGTAAAACAGTAATAGTTATGTTTCCTATGTTTAAAACATACATGAAATTAAATAATGGCCAAGGGACGCCTGGGTGGCTCCGTTGGTCAAATATCTGACTCTTGTTTTTGGCTCGGGTCATGGTCTCACAGTTTTGTGGGTTCAAACCCTGCTTTGGGGTCGGTGTTTTGGATAGCTTGGAGCCTGAGTGGGATTCTCCCTCTCTCTCCCCCCTTCTCTCTGCCCCTCCCCCACTCATGCTGTCTCTGTCTCTCTCAAAATAAATAAACTTAAAAAAATTATAATGGCCAAAAAGGCACATAAATCAGAAGAGGAAGTTCAGATGAAGATGAAGTCTTGTCCAGGAAGAGAATAAATACTAGACTTTGGTGAGTCAAGGATGTATTTTATAATTTCTAGGGTAGCAGCTAAAAAACAGAAAAAAAATTGCTCAATTACTAAAAGGGAAGAGAATGGGATAATAAAAATATAATTTAAAAGAATCTTTCCTCAAAGGAACTCCTGGCTCAGATAGCTTCACTCATGAGTCCTGCCAAACATTGAAAGGGAAAAATAACATTGATTGTGCCCAAAAGAAATACACCATGTAGTGGATTGAACAGTGACCCCCAACCCCCCACCAAAAAAGTAGGTTCATTCAGAATCTCTAAATGTCACCTTATTTGGAATAAGGTCCTTGCAGATGTAATTAAGGTAAGGATTTCAAACTCAGGTCAAGCTGGATTAAGGTAGTCCTAAAACCAGTGAGGAACATCCTTTGAAGAGACAGGAAAGGAAAATACCCAGAGACACAAAGAGACGAAATATGTGAGGACATGGAGGGAAACTGGAGTTCTGTAGCTACAAGCCAACCAATGCCAAAGAGGACCCAGAGTCACCAGAAACCGGAAGAGGTAAAGCAACATTTTCAGAGGGAGATGGCCATGCTGGCACCTTCAACTTGGACTTCTGGCCTCCATGACTGTTAGAGAATAACTTTTTGTACTTTGAGCCTCTGAGTCTGTAGACATTTCTTACAGTGGCACTACAAAACTAACATGCAGCCCCCACTCATAATCTTGATATCAAAACCTCACCAGGCAATTACAAGAAAGGAAAATTCTACTCAGAAACCTAAATAGGACAACAACAAAAACACCCTCCTAAGAAAATACTAACTAAATAAAACCCAGAAATATTTTGAAAGGACCAGACTACATTGCTTCTATTCCAGGAATGCAAAAGTGGTATAGTATTTGCAGATCAGTGTGGCTTGGCAGATAAATAGAGCAACCCTACAACACAGCAATTCGACTACTAGGTATTTATCCAAAGGATAGAAATATGCTGATTTAAAGGGACACATGCCCCCAATGTTTATAGCAGTGTTATCAACGATAACCAAATTACAGAAAGAGCCCAAATGTCCGTCGACTGAAGAATGGATAAAGATGTGGCATATATAGATACAATGAAATACTATCTGGCAATCAAAAAGAATAAAATTTTGCCATTTTCAACAATGTGGATGAAACTAGAATGTATTATGCTAAGTGAAATAAGTCAGTCAGAGAAAGATACATATCATATGAGTTCACTCATATGTGGAATTTAAGAAACAAAACAGATGAACATGGGGAAGGGAAGAAAAAATAAGGTAAAAACACGGGGGGAGGCAAACCATAGAGACTCTTAAATACAAGGAACAAACTGAGGGTTGCTGGTGGGGTGTTGGCTGGGAGGATGAGTTAGATGGGTGATGGGCATTAAGGAAGGCACTTGTTGGGATGAGCACTGGGTGTTGTATGTAAGTGCTGAATCACTAAATTCTACTCCTGAAATTATTATTACATTACATGTTAACTAACTTGGATTTAAATAAAATTTTAAAAATAAAATAAATAATTAGGTGGTTAAAAATTTTTTAATCCATGAGATCATATCAATAGATGCAGAATATTGATAAAATTCAACATTGATTCTTTAGCAAACCAACAGTAGAAGAAAATATTCTCAATCAGATAGAACAGCAGTTATAAGAACCTTTAGCAAAAACCATATTTAATGGTCAGATATTGAAAATTTCCCTTTTGAGTTTGAGACCATCCAAGGATGTTTTTATTAACACTTCCATTCAACACCGGGCAAGGCATCTCAGCCAGTAAAACAAGAAGGAAGAGAAGTTATGTGATTTGAAAATGAAATAAACTGTATTTTTTTTTACAGATGATACTGTTGTGTACAGAGAAAGCCCAAGTCATCTAGAGATGAGTGATTATAATTTTAAGTAAATTTAGCAGTGCTGCAAATATAAAGTTAAAATACAAGAATTAATTGTATTTCTATGTACCAAAAAACACAGAAACTAAAGATTTTTAAAAAGATAACATTGATGATAGTATTTAAAATATCAAATGTTCAAATACCAAGTAATAAATTATGATGGACAAGTTCTCTTATAAAAAACTATACAACTTCATTTAGAGAAGTTAAAGATTGATATAATGGAAAGGATATATTATTTTGTGAATAGAAAGAATCAATACTATAAACATGTATAGTCTCCTCAAAGTGATCAGTGCAGTTCTGATGAAAATTCCAGCAGGATTTTTAGGTGGAACTTGACAAACTGAATTTAAAATATATATGAAAATACCAAGGACTAAAAATGGCCAAGAACCTCTTGAAGAAGAACAAGAACAAAGGAGAAGACATTTTACCAGATATCAAACTTAGAATGAATCTGTAATGACCAGTCTGCAGAGATAGTATGGTCCAGGCACAAGCAAAAATGAACAGGCCAATGGAGCAGATTAGAGAATAAAAAAAAAAAAAATTGATCCTCACATATGTGGAGCCTTGATTTGTGATGAAGGTGGAACTGAGAGGGGGGAGGGGAGAGGACACTCTTTTCAATACATGGTCAATAGGATATCCATTTAGAGAAAAACAAAACCTGTCCCATTTCACACCATACTCCAAAACTCATTTTCAGGTATATAACAGATATAATGTGAAAGATAAGCCATACAGTCTTTAAAATGACAGAACATCTTCATTACCCAGGAGTAGAGAAAGATTTCTCCAACAGGACACAAAGCTTTATCTAAGAAGGAAGAGACTACTGAATTGTTTTACACTAAAGTTAAGACTTATCATTGAGAAATTGCAGAGTCAAGCTACAGAATGGGTAAAGGTATCTGCTAACATGTAACTGCCAAAAAACTAAAAATACTTAAAGAACTTATACTAATCCATTCTAAAAAGCCTGAAGTTCAAAGGAAAATGGGTAAGAGATTTAACAGGCACTTTAAGAAAGAGGATAGTAATATGGCCAATAAACATAAGAAGTGTTGTTCAACTTCCGTAATAATTAGGGGAATTTAAAAGAAAGCTATAAAAAGGCACATCCAATGACCAAAATTTAAAAGGCCAGGGGCACCTGGGTGACTCAGCCAGTTAAGCGTCTGACTTCGGCTTAGGTCAAGATCTCACAGTTTGTGAGTTTGAGCCCCACATTGGGTTCTGTGTTGACAGCTCAGAGCCTGGATCCTGCTTCAGATTCTATGTCTCCCTCTCTCTCTACCATTCCCCTGCTCATGCTCTGTGTCTCCCTCTCTCTCAAAAAATGAATAAACATAAAAAAAATTTTAAGGCCAATAATACTCAGTTTTGATTAGAACGCATAGCTGGCCTAAAAGAAAATTGGTGTTCTTACTTTGAAAAACAGTTTGGCATTATGTAGCCAATTTGAGGATATGCATCCTCTATGATTCAGCGATTCTACTTCTAGGTACATACCAAACAAAAATATCCGTACGTATCTACCAAGAGACACACATACGAATGTTCATAGTTGGAATTTTCATAATAGTCTCAAACTGGAAATAACCCAAATGTCCATCAAGAGTCAACTAGATAAACTCTAGTATATTCATACACTGATATTCTATAAAGCAATGAAAATGAACATATTATATATCAAGCACAAAGACATATTAATCTCATGAAAGTAATATTGAGCCAAACAAAACCAAAACCAAAACCAAAAATAGACCCAAGAGGAAAAACACTGTAGGACTCGTTTTATAGTTAAAGGAAGAGAGAGAGAGCTAAAGTATATTTTTAGAAGTCAGGATAGTGATATATTTGGCAAGGAGAGAGAGAGACTAGAGACCAGGAGGTGGGCACTAGGAGGTCTTGTGGGGGTTGCTGGCAGTGTTCTGTTCCTTGATCTGGGTGGTAGTTATATGGTATTACATCACTCAATACCAAAGGATGTAATTTCTCCTCAAATGGATATGGAGATCCAATGCAATCTTAATAGGGTTTTTTTCCCCTTTTGTGATACCTGAGAAGCTGATTCTGAAATACATGTGTAAGTACAATGGGACAAGAATAATCAAAAAATTGTTGGAGGAAAGCAAGGTGGGAAGATTTACTTTACTAGATATCACAATGGGGTAATTCATTGAGCTCACAGTTACACTTTGTGCACTTCTGGTACAGTTGTCATTCTTGACAGTAAGAAGACAGATGCTAGCAGCATCAGAGGGGGTGGATGGGGAAGGCTAAAGTTGAATCTGGCTATCTAAGCGTGTAAATGCAAAGGCAGAGATTGCTCTCGGGACTCTCCTATATACATATTTTTTCAGTTTACTTATTTATTTAGAGAGAAAGAGAGAGCAAGCAGGGGAGGGGCAGAGAGAGGGAGAGAGAATCCTAAGCAATCTCTGTGCTGTCAGCGCAGAGCCCCATGTAGGGCTCAAACCCATAAACCATGAGATCATGACTTGTGCCAAAACCGAAACCAAAAGTCAGAAGTTTAACCGACTGAGCCACCGGTGCCCGGGGACTCTCCTACTTTTTTTTAATGTTTTATTTATTTCTAGGAGAGAGAGAGAGAGAGACAGTGTGAGCAGGGGAGGGTCAGAGAGGGAGTCACAGACTGAAACAGGCTCCAGGCTCTGAGCTGGCTGTCAGCACAGAGCCCGACGCGGGGCTCGAACCCNAGGCTCAAACTCATGAACTGTGAGATCATGACCTAAGCCGAAGTTGGACGCTTAACCGACTAAGCCACCCAGGCGCCCCAGGACTCTCCTATTTTTAATGTTTCAATGTTATTTATTTACTTCTGAGAGAGACAGAGAGAGACACAGAGAGAAAACAAGTCGGGGAGGGGCAGAGGGAGAGGGAGACACAGAGTCTGAAGCAGGCTCCAGGCTCTGAGCTGTCAGCATAGAGCCTAAGGCGGGGCTCGAACTCATGAACAATGAGATCATGACCTGAGCTGAAGTAGGACACTCAGCTGACTGAGCCATCCACGTGCCCCAGCTCTCCCATTTTTTAATGCAGCTTGGCTGTCATGGGTAGTGACAGCCTATGTATTAACCCTCCAGGCCACTAGGGGGCAGCAGAAAAGAGCTTTGTCCAAGAGTCCATCCTTGGTTATCAGAAATGCCTTGTCATCTGGTGCAATTTTTCAAGGTCCTAATCAAAGCTGTCTTCACCTTCATGTCCTTTACTCCAGAATTTGCTTGCTCTGAATGACCAGATTCTGCCCTGTACATCACCGAGAATTGCCTTCATATCTGAAAAACTAGAATATCTTCCTATCTAATCATATTCCATTAGCTGCCCTCTAACTTCTAACATATCTGCATCTTGACTTCATCATGACTAGGTTTACATCCCTCTCTCTGGCTCAGTCCAACAACCTTCTTCAAGTTTTGTCTTCTTTCATCTGCAGCCTACACATCACTCTCCATCTCTCCAGCCAGAATCCTCCTCCCCTGTCTCTATGGTGCTTTTCAAACTCCTACACTCGCATTAGACCAACACCTCATACCACAGCCTCTCTAAACCTGCCCTCTATCCTCAGGCCTGCACCCCTGTCCCTTGAGAAGGGAGATTTAGGTAACAGGGGCTCACAGACACCTGGAACACCACAGCTGGAGGAATTGTGTATCATGGGTTTCTTCCTTCCTCATTTTTCCCCTATGAAGACACAGATGACCAGATTACCCAGTGTTTTCATTATTTCAAATAATAAATAGTCCCATCTGACATTGAAGTTTAATGCCTTTTTGGAGAGCTCTCATTCTTGACTTCTGCTTCCCTAATTTCCTCTGCTCCAGAACCCATGGAGAACCATGAATGTCGATGTGCAAGATTCACCGGCTGGGAATCCCACTGAAACATGACAGGTCCTCCCCGGACAAAGAAAGTATAGAACTTACACCTGATTTCTGGACTTGGGCATAGATAGTAAGGCTTTTTGCTTCTGTTGTTGGCTGGTAATGATTTGCTTTACCTGGGAAAAAGAAATCACAGTGGTTATCTCTCTGGCCTGCCCAGAGAACTCTGTTCAGACCTATGTGGTCTTGATCCCCCACCACATACCCCCCTTTCCCCAGGAGTACCAAAGGAACAAACACCAAGTCCCAAACCTCCTGTACATGTGTCACATGACATGAGATAGTTACTTGATCTCTCTGTTTCTATTTCTCTGAACAGGACTGAAGTATTCTGTCCTGACAGGGCTGTTGTGATGATCACATGAGATGTTATCTGTAAAGTATTTAGAATAGTGTCTGGTACATAGAAAATTTCCAGTACGTGTTACATGGAATTGGAATGCCATTCAATTATTTTAATCTCTATTGTTTAATGTGCATATGTGGTCTACTTCCAGGATTCTAAGTGCTTCAAGGACAGGGCTTATGGCCCTTTCATACTCTCCCACTTGTAGCATGGCGTTTCGCTCGGCTTTCTCTGCCCTCTGCTTCTGGGGCACTTTGTGCGTACGTAGGAGAAGGGGGTACAAGATGGATGATTCCCAGGACTGATTGGAAAATAAAACAACAGTGTCATTCTAACACCCACCACCTGGAAACTTTGCTCAGAGCCTAGGGTCTCTGGAATTTACTTCAGTGCAGGACACTTTCATGTTTAACCAGTTTTTGAATTTCGTCTTTTTAAATTATAAAAATAATTCATTCTCATTACAAAAATTAAAATTGTATAAGGTCAAAAGTATGCCCCCCCCCAAGCAAGGCAATTTCATTCCCAGAAACAATCGCTTTTAAGCTTCCTTCCAGACCAGCCCTGTGTAATTACAGGAATGCTGTGATCTGAGGTGGTAGCCACAAGCCACTGGTGGCTACTGAGCATGTGAGCTAGCGCTAGTGCAACTGAGGAACTGAGTTTTAAATTTTATTTAATTCCAATTAACTTAAATTTAAACAGCCACATGTGGCTAGTGACTATCATATTAGTGCAGTTCTGGACACTTGCTATACAGATGTTTTGTAATGCAGTGGTGTTGCATTCTATACACCCTTCTCTGTAACTTGACCTTTTCACTTACCACGGACTGTGGACATATTCCATGCTAGTGCAGTAGACCAAGCTCATTCTTTCTAATAGTTCCTGGTATTCTTTATGCGCTTCATGCAGCCGTGAGAAAGATGAAGTGAAAGTGCCAGACTAAATCATGGAGGCTAATGTGGGGACTCCTGCAAACTCTAGGCAGAAGCAATGGCTGCTTGACCCAGAGGAAATCACAGAGTCTTTAGGGTGGACTTATTTTAGCAGCAATCAGTTTATCCTTTTAAAAACCTAGGAGCTGATCTCTGAGGGAGTAGCACCAAGGAGAGGCTTTTGTTTGGAAGGCCGAGTGTGTATGTACGCAGTGAAGGTGCTAGAATGTGCTACATGAGAATATGATCCTTGGAGTGGAAAGGGAAGCTCAGAGCTTTCAAAGAATGTCCGTGTATGATGCACTTGTGTGCGGGTGGGCATACAGTGCCTCCTGCTTCCAGCTTTACTTTTTCAGACAGGATTGATACTGGCTGCAGGGTGTGCATGTGCGCATGTGCATGTGTGTGTATGCACACGTGTAGAATGGAGGCAATTGACAGGGTAACGGGGGGGGGCGCAGGTTAGGTCTGTTAAGAGTGTTTGCAAAGTTAGTCGCGCCCCCCCACCCCCCGCACTGTCCTCAGTCTGTAGGGGAACAAACAATGGAGAACAGAAATCAGTCTTGAGGGACTTCGACTTTCAGGTCAGCTTCAGGCTGAAACTTATAATTGTGGGGACAGCCCTGAATGCTCAGTCAGATGAAAGAAGGAAGGCAGAATGATGCTTCCTAGAAAAATCCTGGATCAGGATCGTTCAGTCGTGTACTTTCCTTCCTAGCTCCAGAGCTGGTTTTCGGTCAACTCAACTCAACTCAGCTCAGTCAGTGAGGCCCTAGAAATGAAATGTTTGTAGTGGCCTTCGAATTAAGGTAGCTACATGCTAAGCCTCACTAACTGAGTGGCATTGGACAAAACTTGGCATCCAGTTGGGTCTCTTCTCTTACCATAATTGCTGGTCATAGGACTTGAGCATTGATGTTTTAATTTGGCCCATTAAGAGATCTGTCTATGTATGTATGTCTCTATCCATCTCTCATGCATCTGTCCACGACTTATCTGTCCATGAACACCCCTGTATTCAGTGTTTTGGGTGTGTGGACCCATGGATACCCACAACATGATACCTTACATAATTTCACCCCTGTTTTGCAGAGGAGACCTCATTTGTTCAGTTACACAGCCCATCAGTGGCAAAGTTTGCATGTGAATCTAAGTTTGTCCAATGCCAAACCCCGTGTTTTTAAGCAGTGTATTCTGGAGATGAAATTGCTAGGGAGACTGTTTGAAAACCTTCGGGGTCAGGCAGCATCTTAGAGGTGACAGCATTAGAAGGTGCCAACAGAATCTCTTGAGCAAAGTCTCGCAGAGGGTACAGCAATTAAGTATAGGTTTTCCCACAGGCGTTGAGGCAAGGTTTTCATGTTCTGGCCTTATGAGGAATACATGGAGGCTGGAGACGAAGATGGATACATGTGTTGGGGAAGGTTATAGGGACTTCTGGGGAGACAGAGGGGCATCAGTCCCTTCAGAGCACAGCCACATGATGGGCAAAATGTGGTTGAGGAAAAGAAGGTGGGTTAGGAAGCCAGCACCTCTTTGGAGAGGTTAACATGGCTGTGTTAATCTCAGGGTCCTCACTCCTGGTATCTCAGGTTTCCTTAGTATCTAAACCAAATGTGGGTGCCCTGCCCCATCCCCTTAGGCTCTCATCTTGGTTTCTGTCTGAATCACTCCACCCCACCCCCTCCCCAGCTAACTCTAAGATGGAGGAAATGAGACAAAAGTAGGTGGCTAGGCTGTGATCTTGACTTTCTTCATACAAGCAAACCCAGCTCAGAGTGCTGTGGTAAGGGCTTTTTCGAGAAGGTTACACGTGACTGATGTTCTGGTGGATAAGATCAGCCATCAACTTAGTGGCATAAAGATCAAGTCCTATCCTCACCATGGGAAGGCCAGCCTAGGGACCTGGACCTGTGAGACTGTGGTGTGGGCAGGCGAGGAAAGTGGGGTCAGGCATATTGTACTGTGATGGGGAATCAAGGAACAACTTGGAAGGGAAGCCAAGAGACACTACCTCTAGGTACTTAACCTGCAAGGAAATAATTGGGCCTTCACAGCTACCCTGGGTGACCTTCCATATTATTTAGTTTGCCTTTAAGCAACCTCACAAATGACAGAGTTTCCCAAGGTGAGTCAGAGTTTGTGCAAAAATCTTAGTAAAGAGCATTCCCTCTGCTGCCTTCCAATGATCCATGGGCCTTCCCATGTAGCCTGGTGGTTGGAAGTCAGTTCTGGTCTCTCATTAACAGGCTGGGTGAACTCACACTAGTCACATAACTTCTCTCTGCATCTGTTACCCCATTGCTAAGTCATGTAGAAACAACGAGCTTACTATTTGCAGAGGAATTTTGCAAGAATAAAAAGAAATTACAGAAAGGTTTCAACCCTTGGATGAAAACATCTTACTATAATGTCCTTTTATTAGTCAGTAATTCTAATGTTTCTTGAATGAGGTGCAGGAGCCCCCTGGATTCTGTATCTGGTGAACATTTTTAGGCCCTTTGTCTGGCCCCCTTCAGCACCCTGTATATACCTTACTCCAGTGCAAGGCATACAGAGTGAGAATGATCTGTGAAAGGCCTCCCACATTAGACACCTGTGGTTCATCCCTCTTTTCATTCCCATAGCCTAACACAGGGGATCAAGGCATGTCGAATTACAGGTATCCTGGGAGGCTCAGTCGGTTAAGTGTCCAACTCTTGATTTCAGCTCAGGTCATGATACCAGGGTCCTGGGATCAGGCCCCAAGTCAGGCTCTGTGCAGACAGCACTGAGCCTGCTTGGGTTCTCTCTCTCCCTCTCCCTCTCTCTGCCTCTGCCTCTGCCCCCTCCTTTCTGTCTATTTCTCTCTCTCTCTCTGTCTCTCTCTTTCAAATTAAATAAACATTTAAAAACAAACATGTTAAATTATACTGAACTGAGCAAGGTCCCAGGATATGTGTATTTAGTAATTGCAAAAGGTGCTTTGTGGAGAAAAGCCAGAGTGGTGCAAGCAGACCTTTGCTCGTGGGGAGCATTCCCTGCTTACCACAGAATCTGATATGAGTCTCTTCATTGTCAAGTACCTACCTCTTCTTCTAAACAGCAGCACTACCACCTCGAGAGTCAAGATGACACCAACGATGACTCCTAGGGACAGCCCAACATACAGTCCCCATGGTCTTAGTTCTGAAAGAAAAAGTCAAAGGGCAACCTCAATAAGACTGTGAGTTTAAAAACATCCTTCATGGAAGTGGGGAGACCAGGCCTCGAGTTCTCTTTCTACATGTTCAGGGGAGACATCCGTTCTGATGGTGTCAGATAGAGGCTCCAGCTCACCGAAAATTTCCTATCTCATCCTAATTTTTCTCACTACACTCCACTTTCCTAATTTCCAGAAAGAATTTTCTATTTAAATGCCTGATGGGCACCTTGATGACCACATATCTCAAATCAGACTCACCTTTGTCCCAAGTCAGCCTCTCTGCCCGTTTCCCTAGTGTTAATCTCTGATGTGTCCTGCATCCATTTTGGTAAAAAAGCACGTGGGTACCGCCTGCTGTCTGCACACCCCCACACCATTCTCATGAGACACTGGGAGGAAGAACAATTGACTTTTGTCTTTTAAAAATAAACACAATGGCACTATTATTGTCCTTCCATGCAAATAACTGTATTGAGGCCACTGGGCCTGAACTGAAGGAAAAGCATATATGTTTTCCTCTCAGGGATCCTCAAACTTAATATGAGTCCTCGAGTGGCAGTCAGCAGGCTCAAAGTCACAGAGCCACTATTTTTTTTTTTCTTTCTCTCCTTTACCCACTTCACCAAATCCTTCTGAGTCAGGAGCAATATCTTGGAAAAGAGTGAATGAGACCTAATGAGCCAGCAAACAAGACATTTAGCTTTACTGAGGTAGTAACGGGCAATGGACCAGGCTTTATTTTTAGTGCATTGTGTGTATTAATGGATTTAATCCTCACAGCAGCCCTGTGAGGTAGTTCTTCTCATTATTCCCATTTTGTGGGCAAGGAAGCAGGCGTGGAGACCCTTGAAATACTAGAGCTTGATCTAGGGGTACAAATGTGGCCAACTGGTGAAGACAGACTTCTTGAAGAGTCAGAGAGGATTACAGGCTTGGGGTGAGTTACCCAGGATGATAAACAGTGGGGTCACCCTGGCACCAGGATTTTAAGTAAAGTAATAGCATTAAGGCTCTAAATACAGTTGGCTCTTGAACAGCCCGGGGGGTTAGGAGTACTGACCCCCTGACACAGCTGAAAATCCATGTGTAACTTTTGATTCCCCAAAAACCTGTTAATAACCTACAGTTAACCAGAAACCTTCCTGATAACATAAATAGTTGATTAACATATATTTTGTATGTTATATATATTAGATACAATACTCTTACAGTAAAGTAAGCTAAACAAAATGTTAAGAAAACCATAAGGAAGAGAAGATCCCTTTCCAGTACTGTACAGTATTTATATTTTAAAAAAATCTGCATATAAGTGGATCTGCCAAGTTCAACCCTGTGTGTTGAAGGGTCAACTATAGTATAAGAGCAAGTGTTAACATTAATGCATCAGGGTAGTTTATAAGGATGATTGTAGAATCAGCCTGCTTGTTGTTGAACTCGGGGTGGATTTAGGGTAGAGAAGTTGAAATGAAGGAATTGATGGATTATAGAGGAGCAGGGTCCCTACAGACACAGCTCACAGAGTTGACCTGTGACGTTCACAAAGTCGGCTAAAGTCTCAGGGAACTGATAAAAGGCACCCACCAAGATCCAAGTGGGCTTTCAGCCTGATGGCTCACCAGAGATTGCCTCCTGGATTTGAAAAAATTCTTCCTTTTTCTTCGTGGGCCTTTCACACATCAAGGCATCCCAAGGAATCTCACTAAACTGGCTTTGTAAGCATCTTGATTATTGATCATCTTGCCCAGATTGAAGGTACTTTAACTCTGCCAGTTACCAACTCTAGCACATGGTCATGCCGTATGACCTGATCAAAATGCCAGGGTGCAAGCAGAGAGTTACTGTAAGACTCCTGGATTAATATAAAGCCAAAGATTTGAGCATGGAGACATCATTGTGGTTGAAACTTCCTGCAAGCAGTCCCCCTCTGAGCAGTTTGTGGTCACTGAGAACCCTCTTACCAGGTGGGGTGTGTGTGTGTGGGTGCATGTGTGTCTGTGAGACAGCACAAAAGAAAGAATGATTAGAATGATTACTCAGGGTTTATGTTGGCAACACCAGGGATCCACGGAGAAGTGTCCCAAATCCTAAGCTAATAAGCAGAGACAGCGGCCAAGCCCCACCACGTTCTGTGAGTCCATGGAGCTGACTCAGCAAACTATGATAGCAGATCTGACTATTCTGAGATTATTTCCTCTCTCTTCTTCCCTCAGGTAGGTTGGGAACCTTATAAGACAACAATTAATTTAAGAACAAATGGCTAGGCCAGAGCACGTAACAACACCAGCCCTGCTTCTTTTCCAGGGAGTCACAAGGATGAAAGTCATCTGCTATCCTTGCCCTAAGACATAACCAACCAGCTTCTGCCTATCCAGCCAGATCAGAGAGGCAAGCTGGCCGTTGTCCTGAGAGAGACTTCACAAGCCCTGATTCTTCGCCTAGTCTTTGGATACAAAGTAATGTGAATCTGTTCGAGGATTTAAGTGATCGGTCCATAGAGGTTTTTAATGTTAAAGGAGCTGTAGCATCATCTCACCCAACTCCCTGATTTTATGTTCAGGGAACTGAGATTCAGACAGGTGTGCCCAAAGTCACAGAGAAATTGGTGGCAGAGCTGGGCAAGATGAGAACTGTGGACCTCATAGACTTATGTTTTCACCTGTGGCAATGGGGACCCACAAGGAAAGCACTGGGAGGTGCCCATGCCCTCAACATCCTCCCTCCAACACCTGTCCAGTCTTGTGCTCTGTGCTGTGCCCCCATCCCCTTCCTCTACTGTGCCTTCAGCTGCCTGCCAGGCCTGCCCAATGTTGACACCCAGGCCAATCCTACCTCCTCTATCAGTTTCCTGACCCATTCCAGCTCCCATTGCTCCCTGCCCTGGGACTCTGCGGCACCTTGGTTTATGTCATATGCCTTAGAACCTGAGTTGTGACATTATCTTTGTTGTGCAGACCATTTTCAGTGAGGTCATTTGGAACCAGATAGGCAGATTCAAATTCTGGACCTACCACTTGATAGCTCTGTGACCTCAAATAGGCTGCTCATAACCTCTGGGGCCTCAGTCTCCTCGAGTGCAAAGTGAGCATGACAATATCTGGTTTACATGGTTGTTCTGCTGAGCCAAGGAAATAATTGTAGAAGGTGCCCAGAGCAGTGGCTGGAGCACAGCACAAGATGCACGCACGCCACCTCCTTCCTCCAGCCTCCACTCCCCACCTAGTTAACCTCTCAGAGGCCAGATGCCACCTCTTTCCCTCTTTTGCTGCTGTCTTAGGACTTGGCACACAGTAGGTCCTCGGTAAGTTCCTGCTGGTTGATTGGAAGGACAAGAAGACAGGTTTGATCTCACGTCCAGAGGAGTCCCTTCACTGCCACTGGCTCTCCAGCCCCATCCTGTTGTTGGCTTATGACTTCGTTTCCCTCTCTGTCTAGCAGGTGCAGGTGTCCTTACACATGGTGCTCATCTGTTCGGTACTATTATCTAGTGATACGGATGTTTATATGGAAACTAAATGTCAGGAGCTCCCTGCCCTTAGCAATTTGGATCAATATGGACAGAATGCTGTCAGGCTGCCTGTGATTCCTGCCATGTCAGAAAACAACTTCCTCATAGTCCTCAAGTCTTTGCTCCTCTGGCTCCACTTGCTATAGTCTGGGCTGTCCTGGGTGCAAGGTTCAATGCCTTCATCAGTTTACACACACACACATACACACACACACACACGTAAAGCCAAAAACCTACACCAAGATTTTGTGGGTGTGAATCTTCTACTGAAGATATGAAAGGTCACAGGAGTGGATTCGATCATGAACCAGGCGCTTTCCACCATCTGACAGGCTCAGACCTTCTATTTCTCTTCCTACATCTGCAGAAGCCACATCTGTCCCCTTTCTTGCACAGAATCATCTAAACCACAGCTGAATTCTTTGGGGGAGGGTGTCACCTTCTGCCCGCTAACATTTAAACTAAGGTACTATTCTAAACAAACCCTGTTCCTTTCCAGAGAAGAATTTAGTAGAAGTTTCTTAATATGATAATATTTTTCTACCTAGTAAGGTAGAGAAGTCCCACCTAGACTGTAAATCCTTGAAGGTAGACCCTGTGCTTTAAGCTTTATTTGCACCCCCTCCCACCACCACCTGTTACAATGTGGGAGGGAGCACTTAATGACAAGATAAAGGACGTTAAATTAAATTAGAAGCCATAGGAAGAAGATTGTCATATATCCTTTGTTTAAGAATTATCAGAGTGCTAAATATAAGAAGGTCTCAGAAGGAATGCAAGGTCACTTTTGAATGGCTCAAAGTGGAAACAAAGGGAAGGAGCGATGACCTACTTAGCATGTGCTTCATAATAATGAAATGGAACCAGGAAGAGATTATGTGCCTGTGGCCTCTGCACCACCTGTGTTCCCATTTTCAAACCACCATTTCCTGTGACAGAAAACTCCAGCTCTCCCTCTTCTTCCTCAGTCCTGTAGTGAGGCCTCTCAGAATGGCATTGCTCAGAAATCAGAGCCATGTGGTTCTAAGGCCCATTGGCCCCGTTGTTCATTCACAAAGAAACCCAATCTGAATATTTCTAAATAAGAGGTTGGGGCCTTTCCCCCCATGGAGCCTCTTTGAAGCAGCTGAAGAGGCTGGTTGAGAACACAGGCACAATTTATGAGGAGTCCCCACCCTCTGGTCCTCTACCCTGTGGGCTGTGGTTTAAACGTGACAACTTGGCATGGAGCCATGCCTCCAAGGGAAATGCTAGAGGGACTTTTTTAAATCTCTAAAAGTCCACTGCTACAGACACACAAAAACTGTCCCTCCTCAAGTCCCCAAACCTTATTCTTTAAGTAGAGAAAGATTCTTTTTTTGTTAAAAAGAATCAGAGAAACAAATGCAGTGTGCCCCCAGGACATACTGAGATGCTACCATAACGGTCTGAGAACAGATCTCCTTCCTGCCTTTCATGTGGTTCTGTCAGCAAGGCGGTCTGCAAAGCACACACCTACTTAAAGAAGTCAGCCACCTTCAAAAAACACCTTTTTGTTGATGATGGCTTCCACTCCACTCAGAATTGGGGATATTCACAACCCACACACTAATTTAAGATCTGGGATCACCCAAGGAAACCTTTCTACAGAGTTTACAGTTCCCAGAAAAACCCCTCACATCCGCCTATCTCACCCACATTGTGTTCCAGAGGCTACTGGTTGTGCCCACACTTTTCCCCATCCATCCATGGAAGTCTGAGTGTTGTCCAGTCACAGGGCTGTCCAGCTTCCCTTGTTGCAAGTGTGGCCATGTGACAAGTCTGTGGCCCACAAGAGGTACCAGGTTCTACCCTTCCGCCACTGTTGTCACATCAACTGGACTGGGTGCATGATGAAGAGGGACCTGTCTCTGTGCACGGAACATCTAGGTGACTCTATAGCAGTGGGTGCTCCCTGGCCTTGTCAGAAAGGGGGAGTCCCTGGTGCTCACTGGCAGGTGTCACCTGTCTCTTCCCCTGAGCTAACCCAGACTTGCTGAGCCAACTTGCTGCTGCTCTACTGAAAAGTGTCTTCCTTCCAAGAGGAGCTCCCAGGGACATTCCCTTTTAGTTGAATTATGTAAGGTTTTATATCATTCATTCTAGCATAGATATAACTCTTTCACAAGACAGTCATGAAGGACAGCAGCAAGGCCCACGGTGTTGGCCCACATCAGCATGTTCTGCACGACCTCGCAAGAGGGCTTTGTAGCACCTTAAGGTTTGGACTTTGCAGTAAAGATGCCTCATAGCAAGGGACATTAAGATGGTTCTTACTGTACTCACCGGGAATCAGCAGAAAAAACAAACAAAGATATTTCTTACTGTAAAATAATGATGTGGCAATTGGAAGAAGAATGAATATACCACTGGGAACCTGGACAAATGTCATTAGAGAAATAGCACAGTGAAGAGACCTCCAGTAAATCCTCAGACTTCACCACTTCGTCCCAAGGCTGGAATTTCCCTTGTATGAAGTCTTCATTAAACCAACAGCCACTCACTACCTCTTGATGGGTCACTGCAATGGTGGCCCTTCCCCATAACTAGTTTCTCTTTCTGCTACCTCTTCCTTGCCCCACCTATTCTCCACACCACTGAAGTTCTCTCTGAAATGCAAAGACAATCATGTTACTCCTCTATCAAAAACATTTTATTGCCTGGAGGGTAACACAGGACAAGACCCAGCTGCCTCTGCTTTTCCCTATGCCTGGAATGCCTTTCTTCTATGTGCTTGAGTAATTTCTATTTATTCTTCAAAACCCTTTGGTATCACATCCTCTGTGATGCTCTCTCTGATTCCTTCAGATAGCGTCAATCATTCCTTCCTCTTTGTTACTTCTGTTCTGCCTGTCCCACTACACGGTCTAGGATTAACTACTTCCAGAATGCTCTCTTTCTTTCAGGGCAAGGTCATGTCTTTTTTTTGTCTTTGTGTACTCACCACTGGACTTCTAGTCTCCAGAACTGAGGCAATACATTGTGGTTGTTGAAACCACCCCATTTATGGTACTCTGTCACAACAGCCCTAGCAGACTGTAAACTTTTGTTAGCCTTCTTATTAATGTGCGTGCAAAATGAATCATAGAATATTGACTCTGGACAGAACTTCATGACCTATCATGACTTTGGAATGCATGAATGAAATTCTTCTTCAACCACATAGAAAAGCATGAACAGAGTCCTTCCTTTTTTGAGATAGTCCAGGACAAAACTCTTGATGCCCTGTCTTTGCTCTAAGAGGTTTGCTGTGTCCACAGAAGGCCCAAGAACAAACCTTACATTTTTCTAATTATTTATAAGGCATTTAAAGTGTATTATATTTTCCTTGTACTACTTACGAGGATTCCAGGATCAGATAGCTCAGCTCTGCTACATGCCCTGTGTGTCATCTTTCTATGTGTCTGTTTGCTCATCTATGAAGTGGGAGTACTAAATACTCTTTGATGACTGTAAGGTTTGAGTGAGATGTCACATAAGTGGCATGTACTAAACAATTAAGACCTGTAAGTTGTTATGATTTTAGATAAATAATCTAAGTCTTAGGTTAAGTGAGCTTATACTTGCAAGTAAGGAGAGCAGCATTGGGTCTAGAGCCACTGGGGACACCTTCCATAAACTCTAGAATGCCTTCCACATAGACACCAAGTCTGCAGTAGGCTGAAGTCTCCTTGGAATGGCTGTTGTTCCCCAGTGGATGCAGAAAGGAGAATGTCAGGGCATTAGTAATACTTGGAGGGCCAGTAGCCAGGTCCTTCTGTCCCTGAACCCACTGAGGCATGGACACAGGATCTGACACTGAAAAGATGAGTGTTCTATCCAGCTAGCTTCCAACCTCAAATGGTTACTTAATCAGCCCTCCCTTCCTTTTGATAGCAGAATAATGATGCTCTGCTTCCTGGAGAATGAGCAGTCAGAAAGTCTAATCTTAGGTGCTAAATCTTGAGGAAACTTGAGAAGGGCACTTAAATGCTACAAGCTTCGTGTTCCTCATCCATTAAATGAGGATAGTGATAACACTCATCTAGGTTATTGTGAGGATCAAAAGAGATTATAGCGTTGAAAGTGCTCTGCCCATAACACAGTACTCTATGATTTATTACCATTCCTGAATGTCACAGTCCAGGTCGCGGTCAGAGACCTGACTCCCCTGGATGTCTGACTTGCTATGAGATTCTCAGTCCATTCCATAACATGTGGCCCTTCATCATATCCTGCTTTTCATTACTGAGCAAATGTTTCATGTCTTAGCTTCACAACATGTTGCTGGAGAGCAGAGGTCATGTATCCCGTCCATGCCCAGTTTGTTGCACAGAGAGCGTCAACAAGTCTTATCTATGGTGCAGACCTGTCCCACCTTGAGTGGAGCATGGACTGGGAGTCAAGACCTGCCACCTGCACTCTCCCATTCAGCCATTCTTGCAGATTGGAGCCACGAAAGGAGGGGAAGGGAAGAATCACAACAGGGAAGCCTGCACTCTAGGTCTGGCTCCATCATTTCTTATCGGTGTCCCCAGCTGTGAACTGAGCAGAATGCCCTGCTGGTGATTATGAGCAGAGAGCACCCACCAAATGCACCTGAAGAGGCTTTTATCAACTACAGAGAAGATGTAAAGTGTTGTTACCAAGGGGAAGGCAGCAAGTCCTTGGTTCCCAGGTGGGGACTGAGCCCGTATCATCAATGTGCTACAAGGGCCCCACCAGGGCACTCACCTGGAGGATCTGGCATGCACTTGGACAATGGGGTGAAGGTCTGTGACTGGTTGCTGATGGGGTTGCTCACAGTGCAGACGTAGATGTTGTGGACATGCTGAGGGCCCAGGCTGAGATGCAGGTGGGAACTGTTGGCTGAGATCGGTGGATCAGTGCCGGCCTCCTCCCTCCAGCTGTAAGCTACATGGTCCCCTTTCTCCACTTCGCAGGCCAGCATCAAGCTGCAGTTTCCATTCTCCTGGGTCCGGTTCAACACCTTTATTTCCGGAGTGGAGACTTGCTCTGTCAGGAGGTGGAGGAAGGAAGGCCTCACTGGAGTGAACCCCCTGGGATTCTAACTTGACCTTTTTGTTAGAAGAAAATGAAACCTAATGGTACTTTTCCCTCCCTGTGGGTCTGCAGTGCAATTTATTCTAATAGGGACTTACTGGTTCCCCAAATCCCTCTCACTCCACTACCCCTCTCACTCCACTACGCTCCTTTCTGGTATGACCTCAGGACAAAATAGAGAAGAATAATGTGTCATTTTTTCCCCTCCCACCACTACTGTTAGGAATCCACTTGCTCTTGCTGATGCTCCTGATCTGACTTGTTCTTCTGTTTTCTATCTGTCAACTAATCCTCAATGGTTTGTCATTGACTAAAGTATTACCTCCTAGATCTGAAAGAATGACTTGGTGGTGGGGTTTTATCTATAGTATGTGTTGGGAAGGGGTACGCACTCTAATGCCATGAAATAGCCAAGGCAAGGGAGCAAGTCATATTCATTTAACAATTACTGTAGGACGGATAGGATTCTGGAAATTCACATTCATCATATCCTTTAATCTTCTCAACAACTTGCTCAACAATCATAGCCTTAATTATAAGTATTTCCATTTTACAGATGAAGAAACTGAGTCCCAGAGTGATGGTGTGGGTCACATATTATCACTCCGGCTGAGCTCAGAACCTAGGTCTGTCTTACTCTGAAATCCAACTTCTTTCTTGGACTTGAGAAGACTATCATGGTTGCATAGACCACACTTCCCAAGATAAGAATTTAGGTGACAAGATGCGACAAGGGCAATGAACTGTTCTGGAAAATTCATGATGGATTATCCCTGGGGGCCACTGTTGGAGTGGCCAGAACTCCCTGGTACCTGTCAGGGGGCTGAGGGGAGTCTGCATACACTGTGTAGAGGAAGGGGAAAGAGCGGGGAGGGTAGTACCCTCTCTCCTGTAGGCATCTGAAGATTTCAAAGAAATGCTGGGTAGGTGACACTCTCTGTCCCATCTCAAAGATAAGAAAGTCTCTCTATAAGGGAGCCTCTGGGCTTGAGAGACACAAACTCTGGATGCATATAAGAGGGGCTGGCCATTAAAGAGGCTCAAGAAAGCACTGGCTTTGGATTCAGATGGACCTAGGTTCTAGTTTAAGTTCTGCAACTAAGTGACTTTATAACCAGAACCTCTGTTGCAATGATAAAAAGGAGCCCTTCTACAGGTGGATGTGGTCCTATGCCTGGGCATGGGGCATGTGAATGGTGCTGGGCTGAGACTCAGCTCTTTTTTGCCCAGACCCCTAGTGCTGAGGACCAGCCACAAGGACATGTGTAAGCACATGCCAGTCCCATGGATTTCAATGTCTTCATCTATAGAAAAGAGGTCAGACTTCATCCATTGTATCCAAACATTTTAAAAATCTGGGGAAAAATAAAACCTTTTTTCAGTCCAAGTCTTATTTGCAAATTGAGACTCTTGGGCCCCCAGGCTCAGTAGTTTGTACACAGCTAGGCTGTTTGTCTTTGGGAAATAGGGGTAGTAACTAGTGCTCATCAGCTACTACCAATGAGCCATTTGGACAAAAAAGGTTTGTGAATCTCTAAAACCTCTTCCTAAACCACAGTTTACACACCCTGGACTAGCTGATCTTTCAAGTCATTCCCAATCTTGGAACCCTCACTTCTGAGACACTGCTAAATTCTTAGGCAAGGGACTATCTCTGCCCCCTAACCCCTGCCTGGTGTAGACTGGGGAAGCCTTGTTATTACCATAGAGCTTCAGGTGCAGACAAAAATGTCGAACTGAAAAGTTCTCCTCCAGGGTCATGAAGTACCAGCCCTCATTTTTCTTCTTGCTTTCCAGGATCTCCAGGCTCAGGTTTTCCAGATGAAATTTATAACCATCTTCCAGAAAGCGTGGAGAGCCCCCTTCCGGCAGATTCACAGACACTATTTTCTCCTTGATATTTTTTTGCGGTGATTCTGCCTTTGTGACGAGGATGTGGATGCTCTTGTTCATGCTCTTACTTATCCCTTCAGATGCCAGAGGCAGCGCCACATTGCATCCCAACTGATGAATGACCTCTTGACAATTCATCAAGCTCTCACCTGTGGGAGGAGGAAGAAGAAAGTCCCTTATTGCACAAGTCTTTCAGAACCATATCCTGTCTGTGGATCAGGAATGACAGACTACAGGTGCTCCCTCTTCTTCTTGGGCTCTCCCTGGCATTGCCAGGTGCTTAGTAGCCAATAAGAATAGTCACAACAGTCCCGCTATATTCTCAATATTTCAAAACTCCCAATGGAAATCTTAAAATTACTTACAATGGAGATGTACAGACTAACTGGTACACTAGATTTCTTTGATCTGGAAGAGAATTCTAACAACTCAGATTTATAGTAAAGGCACAGCAAAACAAAGATGTGGAAAAGTTAAATGACATCCCTAAAGTCATGTAACTAGTAACTGGACTGGAAGCCAGGTCTACTAATTTCTTGACCAGACTTCTCACCACCACTCAGTACATAATATGAAGGGTGGAGTACAACCAAAGCTGATTCTGAGCTTGTGAGCACAGAATACCAAGGCTACAGAGCATCATTTCAGATGATGAAGAAAAAGAAAAGTCTGAGGGGTGTAGAGTCAGGCAGGTAGTGAGCCCAGGGTTCAAACTGTGGAATTCTTGCTCTCCAAAAAATCATTAAATAGTTTCCAAAATCAAGGGTGAGAAATTATTTTACTTCTCTTTTTCAAAAGAGCTGAGCCAACAACAACAACAAGAGAAAGAAAGAAAGAGAGAGAGAGAGAGAGAGAGAGAGAGAGAAAGAAGAAAGAAAGAAAGAAAGAAAGAAAGAAAGAAAGAAAGAAAGAAAGAAAGAAAGAGAGAGAGAGAGAGAGAGAGAGAGAGAAAGAAGAAAGAAAGAAAGAAAGAAAGAAAGAAAGAAAGAAAGAAAGAAAGAAAGAAAGAGAGAGAAACCCAAAACCAGACCTTTCAAATCACTGTAAGAGATCCTACTGCTGACTATTTAACACCTCCTCTCCTCTCCTCAAACTGTTGACCTCAGCTGATGACTCTGATTCTCATTTTACTGAAAAGGTGGTAGTGGAAACAAAAATAGAACTTCCATTTGTAACCACCACCAAGAAACCTACCTACTTAGATGGAGAGTTTGTGCTCCCCTTAAGCCTAGCCTCTTCCTTCATGGAGCACTTAACCACTTCAAGAATTTGCTCTTGGAATTGCCCTCATCCCTTGCATCATCAGCTTATTATCAGTATAGAATGTTATGGGTTATTTCCACCAATACACAACAAACCAACTTGTAACTTCCCTCATTTACAAACCTTTCCCCTGACCCCAGGTTCATCCCTAGCAACTGCCTTATTTCTCTCTTTGCCTTTATTGCAAAGCCCTTTATTGTGTGTTTTTATTTTCTGTTTCCATTTCCTGACTCATTTTTCCTGTGCTCCCTCTTAGTGGGTGCTCTTCCTTACTACTCACTGGAACCACTCTTGTCAAGGTCATTGCGTCATGGTGCCAAATCTATTCTCCCTTCTTGTCTTGCTTTCTCATGAGCACTTGACATGGTTTCTCACTCCCTCTTTGAAACACCCTTCATTTAGCCCCTGGAGCACCACACTCACCTAGTTTTCTTCCTCTTTTGTTAGCTGCCCCTTCTCAGTCTGCCTGACTGGAACTTGCTCCTCTTTTTTCCCCCCTTTTTTAAAAATAGTTTATTGTCAAGTTTGTTTCCATATAACACCCAGTGCTCATCCCCACAAGTGCCCTCCTCCATGCCCATCCCCCCCTTCCCCTCTCCCCCACCCCCATCAGCCCTCATTTTGTTCTCAGCACTCAAGAGTCTCTCATGGTTTGCCTCCCTCCCTCTCTCCAACTATTTGCCCCTTCTCCTCCCCCACGGTCCTCCATTAAGTTCCTCCTAATTCACCTATACGTGCAAACATATGGTATCTGTCCTCTGCCTGACTTATTTCGTTCAGCATAACCCCCTCAAGTTCCATCCATGTTGCTACAAATGGCCAGATTTCATTCTTTCTCATTGCCATGTAGTATTCCATTGTATAGATAAACCACATCTTCTTGATGGAAACTGCTTCTCTTAAAGACCTCTAAATATTAGAGCATGCCAGGACTCAGTACTCAGACCTCCTCTCTCTCAGCCACATTCACCCAGCTGCATGGGTTGACATACTTCTGGAATGCTTGCAGAGATAGATCTCGCTCCCAAAATACCTACACAGATCAGTACTTTGAGGTCTAAAGGACACTGCAAACTCCGCAAATGAACTCTTGGTTCCATATCCCCTTCCACCAACATTATAACTCCTCCGAATTCTCAGACCAAAAAAATTGAAATCATCCTTGACTCCTTTCCTTCTCTCATACTCTGCATTCAGTCTACCAGCAAATCCTGTTGGCTCTATCTTCAGAATAGATCTGCAATCCTAGCACTTCAAACCTCCATCATTTTTACCACCATTATCACAGCCTGGTATGGCCGTTGGCTTCCAACTCCTCTCCCGGCATCCATGCAGTGAACAGACTCATCTTTTTTTTTTTTTTTAATGTTTTATTTATTTCTAGGAGAGAGAGACAGCGTGAGCAGGGGAGGGTCAGAGAGAGAGGGAGTCACAGACTGAAACAGGCTCCAGGCTCCGAGCTGGCAGTCAGCACAGAGCCCGACGCTGGGCTCGAACCCACAAACCGCGAGATCATGACCTAAGCGAAAGTCGGAAAGTCGGACGCTTAACCGACTAAGCCACCCAGGCGCCCCATGAACAGACTCATCTTTTAAACCTTTGTCAGATTCTGTCTCTCTCTTGCTTTTAAACTTCCAGGACTTTCTAGCACCCATAGAAAAGATATCCAAAGGCTTTGTTATGGCTTCAAAGATTATGAGTAACCCTGTCTCTGACCCCTCTCCTGCCCTCTCTCTCCATTCATTGCACTATGGTCGCACTGGCTCACACATCTCAACAAGAACATTCCCACCTCCAAGATTTTGCTTTTGCTGTTCTCTGGAAATCTCTTCCCTTCCATATCTGGATAGCTCACTCCTTCACTTTATTTTATGTTTCTGCTCAAAAAAAAATATTTCCTCTGAGAAACTGGCTCTGACCATTTTATATACAAAATAACACCCCTTCTGATTGCACTTTTATCACTGTCTGGTGATACAGTGAATATCATTTTCTTTTTGTATCCCTGGCTAGGATGCAAGGTTTTTGAAAGAAGGAATTTTGTTTTGTTCATTGTTTTGTTTCTAAGATCGACAACAGTAGTTGGTACATGGTAAGCTTTTAATAAATAACTATTCGATCTATGACTGTAAAAAATGACATTACCTGATTAAAATCTCTTTTATTTAGCTGTGCCCAATATGTAACTGAACTGAATAACTGAACTTAACCATAAGTTAATTCTCATAAAAGAAGGAGTCCATGACTCAGAGAGCATAGATTGTTCTAGTTGATAAGGAAGACAGAAAAGTAACACAAAACCGCCTGGTTAAGTAACGCAAGCACTTAGAAAGGACACAATTAGTATGTGGCTAAGATCGGCTGTTGGAGAATTGGACAGACCATATACTCTCCATACTAAAAATGCCCTGAAATCCCAGCACTGACCCAAAAAGGGCTCAGGTGGCATTGGGCTAGAGATTCAGAGGTTGGGAGAAGTATGAGGCAGTCCACCCGGGCAGAAATGAGGGTGACATTGGTGGAGACTCATAACAATGAAGGAAAAGGAGTTTATAGGACCAAATGGGGGGGGGAGTCCATCGCCAAAAGAATCAAAGAAAGCAAGTAGGAAGGGAAAGAGGACAAGAAGAGAAGGAACAGATGACAAAGGCAGGCTGAGTAGTGTCTGCACACTCACTCATGGGGAGTGGAATTGAACTTGGTCAGGAAGAGACCCTCACACCCTGCAACCCACACAAAAAACGATGACCTACCAACTGACTCCCTGTCAGTAGCTGGGTCTGGAGGGGGTACTAGAAACCAGCACCACCTAAACCCAAGTGGAAAAACAAGTGGGGACTTTAAAGTGGTTCACAAAACCCTTCAAGTGGAGTCTCTGCTCCTGAAACTTCCTACCGTCTGATGAGTGTTTTCCAGTGGGTCTGTGATTCAGTCAGCCCCTGTTTACTAAAGCGTCTGGGGGAAACACTGGTAGTTGTTAACACCAACTCACTTTCTTCAAGGGTAATTCTACTTAGAAAGTAGAGTGATTCACATGGGCCCGTGGATATTTTCCTGAAATCAGCAGCATTTAGCCAACCCTTCACGAGATAGGATTCTACCTAATAAGAGCCACCCCTCCTCTTCTTTCTGCCGGCCATGACACTTTCACATATGCTGGGGGCATCTCACTATAGCATTTCTTTCAGGTGGAGGACAGGGTGGCACTTAACAGTTCCCACTTCTTACGGCAGATCTAGTCCCAGGAAGAAAAGATAATTTGTCCAAGACTGCTTTGTAACCTGCAATTCCATGAGCCGCCCTCTTTTTCCCTGTTCCCTGATGCTGCTGGGTCTTTCTGTCTCGGAGTATTTGCATTTACCCCAACCCAAACGCCTGTTGCCACCCTTGTTTCCCTGGATGCTTCCTTCTGTCTTTCACTGACCCCCCAGCTTAGTCAAGGCCTCCCCACTAGTGTCTCCTATGCTTCGCATCACGAGTGTGTCTCACCCATCACACTTTTAACTCTGATCTAGGACTGCCACCCTTACTCAAGAATAAGCTTCCAGAAGTAGTAGTCACTGGGTCTGTTTTGTCCATTTGGACTCCTAACGCCCAGCTGGAACATAGCAGAAACTCAATAAATCCTTGTGGCTCAAGAGAATAAAACATTGGATGAGATAAATAAGTGAATGAACAGAGAGACTAAGTTCTCCTTTCTCCCAAATCAGGAGATTTTATACTATCCCTCAGTATAGTATGGTGGCAAACGCTGGGGATCCTTCTCCCCGCTTGCCAGGTGAGGACATGGAAAACCCTTGGCTGTAAACCCTGGGCTTTAGGCTCAACAAACCACTTCCCCCTGAACACTTGGAACCCTCACCTCTGCATTGGTGCCTTCATCTGGAATATTCTCTTTAAGTCCTTTAAAAACCCAAACTACCCGATGTATCTGCTTAGGAAGACACACTGCTGATAACAGTTTCCTCCAACAGGGGGGATGGAAGGGGGATTTGTCTCCATTGTACACCCTTTTGTACTGAGGAAGTTTTATAGATGTATGTGTGATACTCTTCCAATAAACAAACTAGCTCACACAAAAATTAAATGAAACCTTACTTGATGAAAGAAGTTCCTATCCACTTTCCAAATTCCAGACCAAATACTTCCATATGCCCTCTACTTCCTTCTGTGATTTTATCGCCTTCTCTCATCTTTTGAATATTCCTATACTTCCATTCAATTATGATCAATGTACATGCTCCAATTATAGGTAGCATGTTCTAATTTTCACCATGAGATCTGGATACAGATTTTAGCATCCTCAGTCCCACCATAAGTGTATCTACAGTCATTTATCGAGGCTGCTGAAGTCAGGCTGTGAGACTACAGAGAACCTGTTAAACCACTCTGTGTCTCTCATTCCTTTCTGTATAAAATTGTAATGGTAACAACAATAACACATATCTCATAAAGTTGGCATGAAAATTAAACGAATAATACACATAAAACACTTAGAACAGTGCCTGGTATAAAGCAAGCAGGTTGTACCTACTATTATTATTCTTTCAACAAACATTTGTGGAAGGGCTCTCCCGTACTAGACACTGCATTGGGTGCTGGGCAGAGGCTGTAGTTGTTCATTTTGCTTCCTCCACACCTCACACAATGCCACATTGTATGTTCTTAATAGATAGTGGCTTAACGGGATTGTCCAAAGTCAGTCTATGGCTAAAAGCAAATAGCCCTGGTGTTTTGATTTCCAGTCTGGTGCCAGAGATTTGAAGGTGATGGCATTATTAAAGCTTCTGAGAAATAGAAGGTGCTGAGGCCTATATCTTGGGATGAATGGGGAGGTGAACAAAGTTGGGCCAAGTCTGGAACCCACACTCTTGTCCTTCATGTATATGAAGGAGGTGGGGTGGACCCACATGGAGGGGTACAAAATCCCCTTGAGGAAATTCATCAGTTGTAATAGATGTGTCCCTCTGGTGGAGGATGCTGATAATAGGGAGGCTGTGCATGTGTGGGAGTAGGGGGAAATCTTGGTACCTTCTGCTCATTTCTTCTGTGAACCCCAAACTGCTCTAAAAATAAAGTCTACTTTAAAAAATACCATTGAGGGAATGGAAAATTCACTTTATTAGGGGAAAGGACATGTGGACTTTTTGATTTTTACAATTCTGACTAGGAATTGTGAGGCAAGCTGAGTAGAGATGAGAGGGAGACAGGGTCCTGATTTTACAAGAATCATGCTTTTTGGTTGAATAACTGTCATGGTTGACCTGTCCCACTTGCAAAGCATTCCGTCTGTGTTTAATTGGGGTTTCACAAAAGGGTATGTATTTAAAAATAAAAACACTAAAAATTTTGTGCGTATTTCAGAGAAGACAGCTGCTGCCGATTGGGTAGACACGCCCCCCCCTCCCCCCCCCCCCCCCCCCCCCCCCCCCCCCCCCCCCCGCCGTCGGGGCTGGGCTGCTTCTCACTAACCAAGGAACTCCCAGCCTCCAATGGAATATCTGTCAGCACCTGTTGTCATGGGGACACCATGGGCCAGGCTGGCCAGCAGACAAGCAAGCACAGAGATTTAAAACCTCCAGCCCACTGTTCAACCCCATCACTCTTGATGGTCACTTAGAAATATCCCCAAATGGTAGAGTCACAAATGGGGTGCATCTGGAAGGGCTTAAAGTGGTTCACTTTGGCTTTTTGAGCCCTGAGCTCAGTCACCCCTTCCTTAGACCTCAGAAAGCAGGCACCATGGGTCTGCCTAATTCTGAGGGAAACAGGAGTCAAGAAAGGGCCTCTTTATCTGGAAGTCTAGCAAAAGATAGATCCCATATGCAGCCTCTCCGACATCCCTAGCATATTTCTGGGCTTTTCCTGGAAAAGTCCTTAATGGATTTGCGGTCTTGAAAACCCCGAGTACAAAACACCCGGAGCGTCAGGATTTCCCCCCACCTTCCCTAATGCTGCTTCCAGGCCAAGCTGCCTCCCCCAGTCTAATTGAACTCCAGACATTTAAACACTCTTCAGTGAGCCCAAAGTCTACTTCTTGCATGGCCTCTTTATTCTCAAATCCCTTTTCTCTTAACCCTGATACTACTAACAGAGAACACCAGCTCACCTTCAGAGGAACACAAGCCAGAAAGACAGGAGCAGAGCCCAGCCGCAAATGCTCTGTTGTGCATCTGGCATGATGGCTGGAGCTGCCCTGCCCCGCAAGAGTTCCCAATTTGCATTTCCCATTTACTGTAACCATCCCTGGACACCAAAAATCCTGGCCTCTCCCCCTCTTGCTGCTGTGGAAGGTTCTCTTCCAGGAAAGTAGCCACCAGTATGACCACACCATGGCCACTGCCTGTTCTCAGCTGATGCCTGGGGTTTTCACTTCTAACTTCTCTTCTCACTGCGGCCCTTCTTTGTTGTTGGACCATATTTCTGGTTTGTCTGCTCACGTATGTGACGATCCCCTTCAAGGTCAGGGATGTAGGAGTCTCCTCCCAGAGCTCAGCCTGTCCATCCCAGCCTGTCAGCCTGGGTCTTTGCCAGATACAAAACCAATCACTCAACCAGAACCTTGACCACAGCCTTTGACCCTGAAAGGCTGGTCTGGAATGTGACCAGTGCCTTTGGCTTAAGGCTCCTGGTCTCCCTGGAAACTAAGATTAGTAAGATTGAGCCTTGAAATCCAGGTTCCAGGAACTCACAATATTCCTTCTTCTTTGAGTCAGGAGAAACTCAGAAGCAGTCTCTGAGGAAGAGGCAGCAGAACCCCAACTGCCAGCCCCCAGTCCCTGCAACTTCTCCCTGTCCCTCGGCTGGCTGACTCCTGTCAGGTAATGGTGGGACCCATACTCTCAAACAGATGAGCACTCACCTTTTCCACAGCTCCACTCCAAAGCCAGCGAGAGAAACAGCAGGAAGCTCAATGAGAGGAGCCCCTTGGGATCCATCAGCCAGTGAAGAGAGAGAAGGGAGCCCCGTGAGGAGCCCAGCAGCTGCTCGAAGATGCCACAGCAGAGCGAGGTCAGTGTCAGGCAGAGCTGACACTGCCGACTAGTTATGCAGCAGGAACCAGATGGCTTCCTGTGTCGCTGGGACTTTTTCTGCCTGAGTCTTGAGGATTGCTCATCTCCTTTCAAGCTTTAAATCACTTTGCTGTTCCTAAGAAGTCCGAGTCAAGTGCTCAGACTAATAAAGCCGGGAAAGTGGCTCAGCAAGCCCAGCCTTGAGCAGAAATGACCCCCCTCCCCCCTTTACCCTCCTCTGCTAATTCTGCCTGCTAACTCCTCTTGGAGCACAAAGAATAGAGCACCTCAAAATCTGGGTCACTTAGTTCAAGGCTGGACTTGGATGACTGAACTTTAAAAGGTTCTTATGTCTTATGTGTGATTTGTTCCATAACTTCAGAGAACACCTCCACATGAAGTTGGGTCCTCTGCCAAAGCCACAGAGACATGGGGAGGGCAAGGGCAGATCAAAAGGCAGAAACCCAATTTCCCAGCTAGGTGCAGTGCAGTAGAATTTAGTGAGCCCTGGGTTTTATTTAGAGAGGAGGGGGCACCTTCATTTCAGAGCTTGTGTCTAACTTTTTGCAGAAGAGAAGGGACTAGAATTAGCAGAAAAAATACATATGCTTTTCCAAGAGTTAAGCCACAAAGAATGAAACACTGGAAAGATGATTTTACTGGTGTGCAGGAAAAGATTTCAGCCCCTTGTTTTTTAATGTCCATTTTAACAGGTCACAGGCACTCTCCAATGGGTCTCCCTAAGGAAATTAGGGTAACAAGGGCTGGTGATCTAGGTGAACTTGCCCTTTATCCCCACTGCTTTTCCTCCTCCTTCTCCTAACACCCAACTGTCCTCCCCACAATACTACCTGGTGACGCAGTGGAGCCAGCAAGTACCAACTCTTGAGAGCCAGTGGTTAAATTTTCAGGAATCTTGCAAGCTGAGTGGTTGGTAAACATTACCATCATTAAACATGTGAATTATGTGAAATTACAATTAAATGAATTACATTAAAACTAAGGGAATATAGGGGCGCCTGGGTGGCTTAGTCGGTTAAGCATCCGGCTTTCACTTAGGTCATGATCTCACGGTTTGTGGGTTCGAGCCCCGCGTCGGGCTCTGTGCTGACTGCCAGCTCAGAGCCTGGAGCCTGTTTCAGTCTGTGACTCCCTCTCTCTCTGACCCTCCCCTGCTCACGCTGTCTCTCTCTCTCTCCTAGAAATAAATAAAAATATTAAAAAAAAAACTAAGGGAATATAAACTCAAAACTCATTACTTCCTAATTAGTTCACAAGATTTTACTATTATCTGGGCCCTGGGGACACTTACATGTATTGTATCTCTACAGTTGAACTAAAATACCAGATCATATGGGCTACTGCAGTTCTCTTCCCAGCCCTGCATTTGATGACACCAGGTTGGTAGTTTGAAATCAGCCAGGATGGAAGTATATATACCATGGAAATTGGCAAATGATAGAATCAGAGCTTTGGCATAATGTTCTGTTGATTTTCTAGATGTAAGAAAGTGATGAAGAAAAGGTAATGATTCCGTTTGAACTTAAAAGCATGTCATGACTGTAGCCTTGATGTTGTATTCAATACCCATCATGTAATTTAGCAAAAAGTCACAAGCATCACTGATGAGCAAATGAGTTTGCAATATGTCTTTAATGCTGTGCATTTATTTAGCTTTAAAAAAAACTGACTGTAAGCAAGATGAGAATAGAGTGAAATATTTAAGGAATTGAGAGGAAAAAGAATGCCGGTCTTAAAGTCTGAGTCCTGAGAAATTAATCCTTCAAAAGTGAAGGAGAATCAAAGACTTCCTTGGAAAATTAAAGTTGAGGGAATTTGGTGCCAGTAGTTTTGCCTTGCAAGAAATGTTCAAAGAAGTTCTTTAGGGAGAAAGAAAATACTATAGGGTAGAAACTCAGATCTACATAAGGAAAGGAAGACATCAGAGAAGGAATAAGTGAAGGTAAAAAAAAAAAACCACTTATTTTTCTACTCATAATTGACCTGACAGATAACACTTTATTCAAAATAATAATAGCAACAATGTATTCAATTATGAGTGTTTATGTATATCTCTTGCCTGTATATATACTCTTGAATGCTTATATATAAGTGAAATGAATGACAATGATACAAAGGATAGGGGAGAGGAATTAGGATTATTTTGTTATATAAGGTACTTACACTACCATAAGACAGTATGGTGTTATTTGAAAGTGTGTTTGGATGAGTTGTAAATGTATATTGTAGAATCTAGGGCAACCACTAAAAAAATAAAATAAAATAAAAGGTATAATGTACATACTAAGAAAGGAGAGAAAAGTGCTTAATTAAACCACAAAAGGTAGAGGAAGAGTGGAAGACAATAATAACGACAAAGAACAAGGGAAACAAACACAAAATGGTAACAAATATGATAAATATTATTCTAACTATATCAGGGATCACTTTTCAATGTCAATGGTCTAAATGAGCCAATTAAAAGACAGAGATTGTAAGAGTGGATCAAAAAAACGAGACCTGATTGGCTTCTGGTGGGCAGCAGGGGCCATTAGGGAGGTGGAGCAGGGCAAGAAGTGGCAGGATTGGCACATCCAGGACCTGCCCCTTCTGCTTCTCAGGCCTGACTTCCTGTCGCTGGGCTGCCAGCCAGACCAGCAATAACATGTCCTTGCAACTTGGCCAAAGGTGCTCACTCTTGAGACACCATGGTGTTGTACTGGTGACAGGCTGGACTCAGGTACATCTGATAATTCCAGATCTGTGCAAAAGCAGTGAAAGATGCACTGACAACAGAATTCAAAACAAATGCCAAGAAAACTTCCGGCAGCAGCATAAAAATTGTGAAAGTGAAAAAAGAATGATCTACTCTTACTAAAGCTTGAAAGGCTACGTTTTCGAGGTGAAGATGTGTGGGCACGTGTTAGGGCAGATTGAAAATTATCTCCCTTCATGAGAAAAAGACATACTTGTCTTGTTCACAGATCAACAATGACAATACATTGAAGTATGATTCAAAAAACAAAAAACAAAAAAGACCAAAACCCAACTCTATGTAGTCTATAAAAAAACCATTTTAAGTATAAAAACACATATAAATTAAAAGTAAATAAAGAGGGGCACCAGAGTGGCCCAGTCAGTTAAGCCTCCGACTCTTGGTTTCTGCTCAGGGCATGATCTCAGGTTCCTGAGTTCAAGCCCTGCGTTGAGCTCTGTGCTGGCAGTGTGAAGCCTATTTGGGATTCTCTGTCTCCCTCTCTCTCTCTGCCTCTCTCCTGCTCGTGCTATCTCTGTCTCTCTCAAAAACAAATAAATAAACTTAAAAGTAAAAGTAAATAAACATGCTAACAGTAATCAAGAGAAAGCAGGCATTGCTATGTTAATTTCAGACAAAGACATCAAAGAAAGAAATGTTATCAGAGATAGAAGGATATTGTATAATGTTATATCTTCTTCCAAGAAGACATAACAATACTTAACATGCATGTGCCTAACAACTGAGCTTCAAATATGTGAAGTGAAGACTGATAAAAATGCAAGGAGAAATAGATGAATCCACTATGACAATTGGAAACTTCAACACCCCTCTATCAGAAATGGACAGAAAATTAGTAAGGACACCATTGAATTCAAAGCCACCAGCAGTCAACTGGATATAACTGACACCTGTTGACTACTTAACCCAATAACAGCAGAATACGCATTCCTCTCAAGCTCACATGAGCATTCACCAAGATAGACCACTTTTTGGGTCACAAAACATACCATAACAAATTTAGAATAATAGAAATCAGGGGCACCTGGGTGGCTCAGTCAGTTGAGTGTCGAACTTCAGCTTAAGTCATGATCTCACGGTTCGTGGGTTTGAACCCCACATCAGGCTCTGTGCTGAACTCTTGCTCAGAGCCTGGAGCTTGCTTTGGATTCTGTGTCTCCTTCTCTCTCTTCCCCTCCACCACTTGTTCTCGGTCTCAATTTTTCTCTCAAAAATAAATAAATGTTAAAAAATTTAAAAAATAGAATAATAGAAATCACACATTATCTGCTTTCAGACCACAATGGAAATAAACCGGAAATCAATAGCAAAAAAAAATCTAGAAAATTCCAAAATATGTAGAGATTAAACAATACATTTCTAAATAATACACAGGTCAAAGATATCTCAAGACAATTTTTTTAATATTTTGAGCAAAATTAAAATGAAAACACAACTTATCAAAATTTGTGGGATTCAGCAAAAATAGTGCTTAAAGGGACATTGATAGCATTGAATGCATATAACAGAAAAGATGAAAGACCTAAAATCAAGAACATAAGCTTTCACTATAAGAAACTAGAAAACAAAGACAAATTAATTTCAAAGTAAGCAAAAGAAAAGAAATAATAAAAACTAGAGTAGAAAGCAATGAAATTGAAAACAGAAAATTAATAGAGAAAAATCAATGAAAGCAAAACCTGGTTCTTGGCAAAGATCAACAAAATTGGTAAACCTTTAGTCAGGCTAAATAAATTTAAATAAAAAAGATATAGGACACAAATTACTAATATCAGAAATATAAGAGGGACATCACTACCAAACTCATGGACACTAAAAGGACAATAAAGGAATACTATGAACAACGCTATACTCACAAATGTGATAACCTCAATGAAATGGAACAATTCCTTGAAAAACGTAATTTACCAGAACTCACAAATGAAATAGGCAATCTAAAACAATCTAATTAATAACCCTCCAAACCAGAACGCATACTGATTCACTGGCTCTGTTTTGTGTTCCTAATTCATTCCATTCCATACTCTGTTTGTTTGTTTTTAGAAAGAGAGAGCATTTGTGAGCAGTGGGGTGGGAGAGAGGGGGAGGATCTTTTTTTTAGTTTAATGTTTATTTGTTTTGGAAAAGAGAGAGAGGGAGGGAAACACAGAATCTGAAGGGACACAAATTCATGAACCACAAAATCATGATAGAGCCAAATTGGATGCTTAACTGATGGACCCCTCCAGGCTACTTAAGAGAGAGAATCTTAAGTGTCTGACATGGCACTTGATCCCATCACCTGGGATCATGACCCGAACCAGATTTAAGGGTCTGACGCTTAACCAACTGAGCCACCCAGAAACTCTTATTCCATATTCTAACTCACTCTAAAAAAAAAAAAAAAAAAAAAAAAAAAAAAAAAAANAAAAAAAAAAAAAAAAAAAAAAAAAAAAAAAAAAAAAAAAAAAAAAAAAAAAAAAAAAAAAAAAAAAAAAAAAAAAAAAAAAAAAAAAAACCACCAGGCAAAAACATTACAAGAAAAGAAACCACAGGCCAATATCTCTCGTGGACAAAAGTACACAAATCCTCAACAAAATATTAGCCAATGAAATCCAACAATGTATAAAAACTGGGATGTTTTTGACCAAGTGGAATGTATCCAGGCTTGCAAGCTTGGTTCAACATTTGAAAATCAATTAATCTATCCTATCAATGGGATGAAGAAGAAGAATTGCAAGATCATACCAACACATGTGAAGAAAGCATTTGACAACACTGGTAATAAGAATTTTTGGCTAACTATGAGTAAAGAGAAATTTCCTCCACCTGATAAAGAATATCTATAAAAACCTACAGTTAAGCCATCAAGTTTGTCGTAATTTGCTATTGCAGCCACAGGAAACCAAGATAGGGGTAAGGTGACTACCATGAGGTTTATAATTACTGTGTCTGGCACACCAAGCTATTTCTATCAATTGTAAGGAGCAGACTTGGACAGACAAACAACTAGATACACAAATGATAAAGCCTTATTTTTATGAATCCATTTTCAAAAGCCTTCATATTCACTCCCTTATTTGATCTCTAACAGCCCTATGAAGGAGGTAGAGCTGGTGATGGTGGAAGGCAGCACTGCACCAAACTTGGGAACCCTGACTTCAAGTCAAAACCTCTTTCTCTTTCCCTGGAGTGTACTCATTATCCCCATGAGTACCCAAGAAGGCAAGGAGGAAAGAAATTCCTAATTGAACTCTCTGGATGCCTGGGGCTTCCCCTATACATTGTTTCATTAATTTTTTAAAGCGTTTATTTATTTTTGGGGAGAGCACAGCAGAAGAGGCGCAGAGAGGGGGGGGACAGAGGATCTGAAGCAAGCTCTGCTCTGACAGGCTGATAGCAGCGAGGCTGATGTGGGGCTCGAACTCACAAACTGTGAGATCATGACCTGAGCCGAAGTCAGACCCTCAACCGACTGAGCCACCCAGGTGCACTTCATTAATTTTTGTAACAGGAAAAAGCAGGTATAATTATCACTATTTTACACCTTGAGGTATAGAGCTGCTAAATAATTTGTCTAATGGTCCAGAGTCCCCAAAATGGAAGAAGTGGATTCAAATGTATTCCTGCATTTTCTGACTCCAGAGTCTGTGCTCCATCCATTCACCATCTCATTTCCATCACACTGGGCAAGAACCTTAGCCAATCTTCAGGCTCCTGTTGGCCAATTGCCTGTTATCCATGGAACATTCCCTCTGGCAGAGGTGAAGTTCTGGGCAACAGGAGAATCCTGAGTAAGCAGCATTTGCTATCCCTTATTTCCATCACCTGTGACAAAACAGCACTTCCTTTGGCTATATGGAACCCTTTGGCCAAAAGGAAATCTACTCTGAGAGTGAGGAGGATTATATACCTGTGGAAAAGAGTCCTCCCCAAACAATCTCCGGTAACAATGAGGTTATCTCTTACTGTTAAGCAGAAGAGTGGAGCATCCCTGTAAGATTTGCTACTCTCTCTCCTAACACTTTATGGCTACAGAGGCAAAGTGACCTGCCTACAGGTGCCTGGGGCTGGGCTGCCCCTGAGCATCCTGTCTTCCCAGCCAATGACTGTGCTCATCATGGCCTCTGACCAGAGAGCCAGCACCACAGGGAAGGATCACTGAGGAGCAGACCAGACTACCCGGCTACTTGGAGTCTATGATAAGCACATTTATCTGAATAAGTAAAATTAACACAACAACAACAACAAGCAATAAAAACCCCATAAAAACAAAACGAAAATACAAAATTTCCCCAAACTTTGAAATATCTCCTAGAAGACCTGATCGCAGAGTCTAAAATCAGCCTGGGGAAATCACTGGAAAAAACACCCTTCTGAGCCCTGCTGGGTGACATGAGGAAACCCACGGGACAGGTGTCTGATACCAGGATTGAACAGACCAGTGGAGCAGACAGCCCTCTGGGGTTGAGACTGTAGGGCCTGATGGACACAGGGGAGGAAACCAGGGTATCAGGTGGCTCTCACACAGACTGAGGCCCAGGTTTTGCCCAACATCTTTATCATCAGCATTCATGCCAGTTGCCACCTTCCTGAGCAGATGGATGTACTGAGTGACCAGGCCTCAGAAAGGGGAGCTGGGGACATGGCCCTGTATGGCCTGTGAAGATGCCACTGACAGTACCTCCTGGCCTTAACTTGGTCTGTGATACTGAAATTGCTCACTACAAGGCCTTCCCAAATCAGTGCCTCCTCCAGGGTTCATATCCAGGTCAGAACACTGGAATCTAGAGACTGAGGAGAGATATCTACAGGCATCCCTAATCTGAGGGTCACCTTCCCAAACTCTTGTCACTTCCACTGATGCTTCTGCCTTCTTTCCAGACCCCAGAGCTAATATGTGGAGATCCCTCCCTTTTCAGCCTTCCCTGGACTGACCCTGAATGTCCCTTGTCCCTAAAGTCTCCACAGCTCTTTGAGAAGCATTCTTGGTAGGGTTTAGGGTGCTTCCTAGTATCCCCCAAATTACCCTATGTAGTAGCCATGTAGTTTGCTAGCCTGTTTTCTACTGGCATAAGCTGCTAGAGAGAGGGAAATGCCCACTCCACTCCACTCCTATGAAGGAACAGAGTTTAGGAACTAGTGGCAGAGGCTGTTGAGTCACC